GGAGACAAACACGAACATATCGCAGCCTCCCAAAAACACACACATACACTACACGCATGCATCTTGCACACAGGGGAGGCCGTCCTTAAATGACCTTAGCTGTTAATAGGACGTTAAACAAAATCAAACAAACAAACAAATCATACACCTCGACCTGTAAGGGCTGTTCCATAATTTATTGTGTGGGGAGGTGGGAAGCACCTGTATTAATATTGTATGGGTGGTTTGGATAAAACCAGATCTGTCTATACTACTGGGCAGGGTTCAATTGTACATAAGATTAAGGTCGCCCTCTAGCTTCGAGCTAGAGGGAATTTCCCTTTAGCTCAGTGGTAGAGCTTGTCTAGGAACCTGGAGATCGAGGGTTTGATCCCCGGTGGAAGCACACTATTCTCTTTCCTGTTACAAATGGTGTCCGTGGCCCTCTCTGTGGTGACAGGGAGTTAGAACCTGGGTTGTGGTGTTCGAGGGCAAACACATTTAAAAAGGAGGGAGTATATATATATAGTGTGGCAGGGTTCAATTGTACATAGGATTAAGGTCGCCTTCTAGCTTTGAGCTAGAGGGAATTTCCCTTTAGCTCAGTGGTAGTGCGTCTGACTAGGAACCTGTGGATCGAGGATTTGATCCCCGGTGGAAGCGCACTAATCTCTTTCCTGTTAAACTACTATTTCTTTAGTTAAACAACTTTTTAACATTTAACAGGTGGTGGGGTATCTGACAAGTGCCTCCCACCCCTCCCATACTGTTAATTCTAGAACTGCCCTTGTTTTCTATTCAAACAACCTTTACATATCATTCTGTAGTCAAATCTTTAATTGTCGTCTCATATTTCAGCTGTCTCCTCCCAACTCTGTGACGGGCACAATGCGGGATTTGTTCGTTGAGCAGGAGAAGGCACGATACAAACTCCGACTACAGCACCTCATAGAGAGGGTAAGTATGAAAACCAAACACCAACATCAGAATCGAAAAAAAGCAAAGCATTGCAAATATTACAGATTGCCTCGCATGCATAACTGCAGTCTGTTAGAGGGCTTATACAATTGTAGTTTGTATCAATTAACTTCATTCTTCGATTTTATTGAATGTTTGTTTTATTAATTTATTTCTAAATCCATATATGTAAACATTTAAGTCTCTTAAGAAGCATTTAGAAAGTGGCTAAAACGGCAAAGATTTCCTACAAAAAGTATACTGACCATGACCTTAGCCATAAACCCCTAAAACACAGGTGCTGGATACACTAAATGTGATGTGTATATACTATATTACTATTATGCATCATATTACGTGTGTGTCCAGAACCTGTGCCCTGAAACATGAACACTCTCTCGAGATATTTACACACTTGGCTATGGCACCACGAAACAAAGTTAACTGTTTTGAGGTAATCTTATTCTTGACGATAGTAAAAAGTTTGATCAAATACATAAGAAGATGTGCTTATAAGATCACTGATGACCTTAACTTGTCCTTGAATGTCAGTAGGTATGAGAATAAGATAAAGATACAATTCATTTGAGGTGCTGTGATATGTCATAATTTGTCCCCAACTGAAAGAAGTAGGAGTTTCAGGTTCCTTAATATCATTTAATTTCCATTACATTTCAAACAATTGATTATTACTCCAATAATCTTTAGAGAAAATCAAATAAGTGATCTCCAATCTGTCTTGAACAGGAAAAGCTGACACTTTCAGTGGAACAGGAAATAATCAGGGAACATGGTAGGGCAGCCCGCGCCATGGCCAATCAGAGTCTACCTTTAAGTATGTGCACCTTACTACGAGACGAGGAAATCTACAACACTATTGATCCGGAACAGGTATTAAAGATGTTCTTAAAGACAAATTGTCTATTAAAATTACTTTTTACTGTACATGAGAAATAATTCTTTGACGTCGGGTTCGGGGGGGTGGGGGGCGGCGGCAGGAAGGAGTTACCGTAACAGTGTCACCAGTGATTTAATCTACAATTTATATTCATGGGTCCTTTTCAACTGTGTTGCTAAAAACAATTGGTCCCACAATGTTAAATTTAAGTATATCCAGAAATTCTACAAGTCCCATCAAAATTCTATAAGTATAGGACTCATATGTAGATTTCTCACCGATCACCATTTATGACAATAATCATACAATTTAACAATCCAATTAGAATTCACCGATTATGTTTTCGGTGTTGGACAATACCTGTTGTTTATACTTACCGTACAAAATGGATAAATATGTTCCATTATGCAGTACACATTGTCACTGTGTCAGATTACATTTCATGTATGACAGAAAAGAAAAGCAAAACTGCAAACATTAACTCATTCACCCCTGAAGACACATTTGAACTCTTCAAATTCAAAGGCTGGAATAGTTCATTATGAAATTTCAGGTGTGAATGAGTTAAGGAAGGGCACAAGCTTGAAGTCTCTTTTTTTTTCTTCAAAAAAGCTACTAATTGATGCTGTTTTTTATGAAAATGAAATTTAAAAGAATAAATACAAGAAATCAATAAAAAAATTGAAGAAAAAAAAATCTGTTTTGAAATATTACAATGTATTACAAGCTCTGATGTATGTTTTATAACTGATCACAGTGTATTATCTGTCCTGACTGATGTTTTGTAATAAGTTTCTTTAAAATAATTTGATTATTTTTAGAAAAAAAATGTATAATGTATAATTCAAAAATGAATTAAATGTCATCTTAAGAATAGAAGAATGAATTGATCGATGTTTTACACAGGTGGAAGAAAAGGAGAAAAATGTCCGTTCCCGGTACAATGGTCGACAGTTTCTTTCATGGTTGAAAGATGTGGATGATAAATATGAGAAAATTAAGGTAACAAACAGTATGATTTCTTCAATCGTAAATTTATTGGAAAATTTTAAATGACACATACACGAAAAAAAATCTCCCTAAAATTAGAATACAGCTAAGATATGCAAATGCAGCATGATTGCAGTACTACTCCAGGTCAAAACTTTTGTAGTCGGTCTCCCACTCACTGACTTGTATATGTAATGGGAAATTGATAAATGAAGATAAAAGTATCATACACAGTGTAAATGTAATTAAGGAATGACTTTCCTTTACAGTTAAACCATCTTTCCAACTTCTTAATAAAAAAAAAAAATGAAATTGCTTCGTCATCATGAAAATGCAACAGCAGAAACCAAGGAAATACAAAAATAGGGGGAAAGGGTGTTGTGAACCCTTTATATAAAATGAAAATAATAATTGAATCATCAGTTTAGTTTTTGTATCTTGACTCTTTATTTGAAAGTGTTGTATTGCATTGATTGGACGTGTAAAACCTTGGTTTATCTGCCTAACACGACATAAACAATTCTCTCGGTATTGTGCCCGAAGTATATTTTGTCATCTTTTTGCAGGAGTCGCTTCTTCTGCGCCATCACCATGAAGCGGAATCTTTATTTGCTGTGCAGAAGATGGACTGGGAATGGAAGATGAAGGAAATGAGTTTATGTGACCACAAGAGTGCACCCACGATAGACGATCTCCATGTTCCCATGGTTCAAGTCAATGACGATTTTGAGCTTCGGCCCACGTAGCAGTAACGGCAGCTTGTTAGAAGATTTTTTTTTTTTTTTAATGACATTTCATTTCTCACCAGTTAACATGATATCGTGAACAAGTTCTGTCGCGTCAGAACCACCGTGTATAGAAAGACTGCGTTAGTAGACTCACAAGGCCATTTAAACAATTCATCAATTCATCATGGAATGATGTGTGCTATTATTAAGTATGGTAGTGAAATCATGGTATATAAGATTTCATGTACAGCCTGTTTGTCTCTGTACATAACGTGGTCTGGTTTAGTTCAAATATTTGTCTGTTTCTATCTGTACTTTGCAATGAAGGTTGAATAGCTTGAGAACGGATGGTGACATCAGATACCAAATTTCTAAACTCGGGTAAAAAAAAAAAAAATGGAAGAATATGTAGAATTCGTGAAAGTGATGGACCATATTTATTAATTTCACAAAGATTCATAGCTAACCGGTAGTTCACTACAACAAATAGTATGTTACACTTATCAAATCTCGACAAAAGCCATATTTGGTGATACTTCAGCATGCGTCAGACTTTCATTAATTGGCACTAATTTTCACGAATAATGAAAATAATGTATACATGTTGTATTTGTCTTTAACACTGGGATATGGCATTAATGATATATTTGTAGAAATCATCAGGGCCCGTATTCATGAAACCGTTCTAATGCTCAAGCTTGGATTCTGTGCTCAAGCCAGCTTTCTTGTAACCCACCTGAATCATGTCAACGAGTCAAAAAGTCAAATTTAAATATTGAAAACAGTATTCGGCTATAAGTCTCTTCAATTTTTGTCCAAAACTTGAACAAAATAAGATTTTTTTAAATGTTGTATTACTGGAACAAGAGATTCGCTTGAGCACAAACTCCATGCTTGAGCACGAGAATGGTTTCATGAATACAGGCCCTGGACTTATTGAAGGAAATTGATAACTGTGTGTATAGCTTCCCCGTACTCAGTAATGGGCTGGTCCCATTGGAATTGAGTCGACTCTGTTTTTAGTAGATGTAATAACGGGATTATTCATCCAAGATTAATTAACAATTAGTTGACATCGTCGTAGATTTTTGTGTATATTCACTCACCTCCGTATCTTTGAAGATTTCTGTGATAGAAATTTTATCATTCAATCCTCAAAAACACCATTGGTTCATCAACAGTGCTTTCCGGTCGTTCAGTGATGGGAGTTATCATTGTAGCATCTCTAAAATGTCGTATCACTTGGTAATTTTGAAACTAAAAAAATTACCAAATGTTTGGGAAATTTAAATCAAATACAGTGTATCACAGATTTTCTGTATCGTCTAGATGTTTGTGAAAGTTAGTGCTTACTGAAATGGATTTTTTATTTTTTTTTATCTTCACCCTGCTATAAGGTTTTTTTTCAAAATTTATACAGTATTAATCCTTTCACCACTGTAGACTATAATGAACACATCAATGAATGGAAAAAGCTACTGAAGTTACATAGGGATGACGAGGTTAATGATATTAGACCTATATAGAGCTATCATACCATCATCTCTCTCATCTTCATCGTTGTCGTCGCTTTTGTAAATAACCTTCCGAGTGTATAATTATATACATTGTGTACAAACTGAACATACACTGTATGTTTACCGTTGTGAGCGGTTTAGCTCGCTGAGTACTTTCTAAGAGATTCATGTCTATTATCGATGTTACCGATTGATAATGCACAGTCTTTGTTTATCAATTGCTTGTTGGAATATATAAATATATATATATATATATATATAAGATGAATACATATTTTTTTGCCAAGATAAACCGTTTCAGAAGCAGAAACACGGAAAAACGCATTTTAGATAAATTTAAGAACAGTTAAGTGTAACTGTCTCGGGAGAAATATAATATCAATCTATCAACGGTGAAATTTCGCTGTGAATATTTGTTGTGACTATGGAGACGTGTGACTGATTATAGTTGTGTGTGATTTTTTTCCCCTGTGTCTTGTCTTTCATTACTTTTTATTTCTTTTGACGGTTTGGAAATGACTCCAAACGTCATTAATTTAAACAATTGGAATACTGTGCATTTTATTCCTATTATGTTATATATATTTTTTCTTCATATGGGACACCTATTTATAAAACTTACAGCATACGAAGAGCTAAAATGTGCTATTGTACTACATTTTACAAATGATTATTTATCATCTTTAAAACTCTTAGATTTAAAACAAAGAGAACCCTCCTCATTCTGTGTATCACATTCTTCAACAGCGTTTTTCTTCTTCTTTCTTTTTCAAATACTTTCAATTTAATATGTATTGTAAAATTTGTCGTTCAAATTAAAAAAAAACATCTGAAAAATCTTGATCTTTTCAGATTAACAATGATAACAGTTTTAACTTGCATGCTATTTCTATCGATGTCACAAAAATATCATCTTTATAAAAACGGATAATTTAATATCAGTTATTTGCAATTCCTTAGAAATTGTCATGAGCACAATTTTACCTATATTGCACTGTCTAAGTTTCAATTATGATTCTGTTTTATCTGTTGTTGTGTATAATTGTTTTATGTTTTGAAACATTGGATTTAATATTAAATTGACAGGGCAATTTAAACAGTGTGTACATGCATATATTTTTTTATAGTTTAATTTTTGGTCACAGTACATAGATTTTGTAGAATTCGTTTTTCTCTCTAGCACTCAGTTATTTCATTTAACACTTTACTTCAGCTACCTTGATTGAAAACTTGATTCTTTTCACAAAATATATACTTTCCTTTTGATCTTCTTGGGGCCATGCATGTGATACATTCTAGAGGCATTTGTAAGACCTGGTAAGATTTGAGAAAACAATGGTTTATGGTATGTAATCACTTTCATTTCAGACAATTTTCAACAAAGGTTGACCACATTGTGCCAATTATATGTAATACATATGTATGTCTTTTTCATTTAATATCTTATTTCCTTGAAACAGAAAAAAATAAAATAAAGGGGAAAATACATTGGTTTACATTTTTCTATAGGAAAAAAACTAGTTTTCAAATAAAGAAATTTGGGCATTTTGTTTTAGAATATTTTTGGTAATTGGAATGCGATAAGCATATGTAATGGGGAAACATTGGAGGTACACCATTAACCCTATTGATTCGTGAGAAAACCAGAAATGCTTACTTTTGGGGAATCATTAATACACCCGTTTTAAAAGTTCAGGTAACCTGCTAATCAAAGTGTGTGCTTTTCACTGTATACATTGCTTCAATGTAGAAAAATGGTTGATTATTAGAGAATGTTGACTGTATTCACACTATATAAGGTGTTTTAGTATTATATTGTAGAGGTGACGAGTTAACTCGCAAAACAACCACTGTATTGAATGGCCCTTGGTGCATCCCTTGATACATAGGTTTATTTTAGAAAAACATTTGACTAAGTGTAATATTTACTATCGGGTAGAACTGAAATGCAAACAACAGTTGTTAAAAAAAATATATGATTTTTCAATGTTGTGCAGAAATACTGTCAGAAAAAGATAAAATTGAGTCATTTTAATTTACAAATATTTGTTTGTATTTTGAGTTCTTTGTTCATCTCTGCAATGAATGAATACCAGCTGTGACAGGTATGAGATTTTCCAATATAATTTGTATGGTAGGGAGGGAAACAAATGTTCATGGCTTATCATCTATCGGAATGTTTACAAACATAAAATGATATGTATTGTGAAATGTGTGTAGTTGGCAGAATATGGATTATATATTTCTGATTAATTTCTCTTGCCTCTCTTGTAATTGATTTTGGAATAGTCTGTAGAATTATCACACTTGCTATATGTCAGATGAATACAGCTCTCCACATCATCCTGTTTTGATTTTTAAAAAGTTTGGTCGAAGAAATACACGTGTCGGTGTATACATACATCAGAAAAACATAGAATTCCTGAATTTCTTCGGATTTTGGCAAAGTAGAATGCACAGTGCATGTTTCTTTGTACCTGAAATTATGTTGCACTTATTTTACTTTTTATTCGAAATTAAGAAAGAACATTTTGACACTGCTAGCAAAACAATGACCAGTTTCCAGTTGATCTTTCTGCAGTAATGATGTAATCAGTATGAAAACAGAAGTTATCCATTTTAAGTATTGAAAGTCAACTTTTCTAAAATTGGAATTTCTAATCCAAATTTTAATACTGCAGGTCACGTACGATTGAGTCATAATGCTGTAAATCAGAGGTGTTCATGACTGCATAAACTGTTAAATTTTATTCTGAAATTTTTGATCGCCACACTGGTATAAAAGTTTTTGATTGCCACACTGATATATTGAAAGGGCTGTTCCAGAATGAATTATAGGGTGCGGCAGGAGAGACACTTTTTCAGAGATTCAACATCCATAAAATCTTAAAAACAATTTGATATAAGGAATGGTGGGCAGATCGGGTTTTAACCCCATCACCCATAATATTTCAATGTAAGTACTTCCCACCTCCCCCATACAATAAATTATGGAACAGCTTGAATGCTTTCAACAGCCACACCCCCGTACTAAAGTTTTCAACTATTTTATTCACTACACTATGACCTTGATCAACAGGGATCAAGATCCATTAATCAAGGCTTTCACCCCTATGTAACTTTAGTAGACTCTACCATGCATTGATCTGTATGAGTCCATTATGGTCTACAGTGGTGAAAGGGTTAAGGCTTCTGCAACAAACACTTTTTTCTTGTAAAAGTATTAAAAGTGAAATGATTGTTTTACACAAAGTTTTTCTAATACTGTAGTGTTTTTAATTCTTTTGCAAAATAAGGAAGAATAGGATATTTATATGTGATAAATCTTGAAAAGTATTTCATCGTAATGCTGTCGTTTGCAAGAAGTTTCGTCTCATTATTTTTCTGCATGCTTAACATTTAAAACTTGCATCCATGGGGAATCAATTTTGGAATTGCATCCATGGTAATTTTCACAAACTTTAACTGTTTTTTTTCTTTTTCTTTTCTTTCGGTCGTTATGATCTTCATTTTCTTTAAAGTTGATTATAATAAATGTTATTGTCTTATCTCCTATAAAGTCATCCCATCTATTGTCATTGGTGTAAACTACTCATGTGATACTAGAGAAATGATCTTCACTCCCTTATATCTACAATAGATCCTGATGTTCAGTAACTGGGATTGGAACATCTTTAAGATTTTGTCTTATTGCATTTACAATATTATTGGAGTCTGTTGATGTAATATGTACTGGGAATACAGACATTTAGGATGGCAGGTAGTACTGTATGCTTTGTACTGGCTTTCTAACGTAAATGTAGTAGTGAATCTGACGGGAGCTAGAATGTGATTCTCTCGCAGATTTCCATTGGACAACAGACAGCTTATGTTTCTGTGTGTAACTGCGTTTTATTGGGCGGAGGAAAAACTTGAATAGGTTTTCCTTTCCAAGTGTTCAAATAAAATGTACAGAAATACATTGACTTTGATTTTGTTATTTTTCAAGTGTTAATTGTGTCTTCATCGATACTGTTATTCATTTCCTGTTTGAGAATTTATAGGAGTGGTTAAGAATTCTGACATTCTGCTACCCCTAGCCCTCCACCACTGGGTCGCGGGTTCGAGGGCAATGCCAGGTACTGGCCGCAGGTCGGTGGTTTTTCTCTTGGTACTCGGTCTTTCCTCCACAACTAAAACCTGGCACGTCCTTAAATGACTAAAATGTTCATAGGACGTTTAACACAAACAATCATGAATTTATTTTCCATGTACAATGATATTAAATTATATATTTGAACTTGCAATCAACTCTTCTCCGAGAAATATCATGACATGTTGCAGTATAGAGTGAAGATTTGTTTTTGTGAACAAATTATACATGTCCCTTTATAGGTTGAAAATCTACATACTTTGGGCAGCTTCATACTTCCATAGGCAAATAAAGAAACACTTTAAAAAAAGCAATGTAAAGGTTTAGGTGATTTTACTGTAAATTTGGCACTTGAACCTTTGATCGGGAGTGGGGTCTTAACACTGAACATATCTTGCAGGTGATGCAGCTATACTTCAAATTTCATCAAGGTTTGTTAACTGTTTAAAAACAGCAATTATTTTACTGATTTTTTTATCTAAAGTCATTTAACCTTTGACCAAGTAACGGAAGGAGATAGGTGGCAGTACCATCCGACAGAAATATGTAAAGGATGAACAGAGACATTTCTACAATCTCGCAACTGCTTGGGCACTGATGTGTTTTAAGTTTCATGCAAATATGTTTAAGAGAAGCAGCAGTGCTCCAGAAGATTTTGTTAAAAGACAGATGGATACCCCGATTCCAGTAAACCTAGGTCTCACTCATCCTCGGCCTTGTTGTTGTTGGGGGTAAGTATAACAGTACTGAATATATTAAAGCTGCTAAATGTATGGCATCCATTATCAATTTTTTTGTCCCCCAAATTATATAATGAGAGAATTTATCTACCTATAGGCTTTTCAGTATACCGGTAAGCTAGAAAGATAACAAAATGAGGTACAAAGAGGCATTTATACAATTTTATTTACCGGTATATATCGTATCAATTTATTACAACATTTTACAACAAAATATCACAATATAAATGAACACTGAAATAAATCACATATTTCTTACATCTAACTGATATTTGTTTTAACCATAGATCAGATAAACTGGACAGCATCCACTATAAGGTGATCAGCCATGTTTATTACGATGTAAACATGTTTCGACACACAAGGTGTGCGGTCATTGATTACTTTTTGTGCCGGACTTCTGAATTCCATTTAATAGAAACTCATGCACGGAGTGCTACCAAATCTTTGGAACAACGGAACACGGGACGTTGGATATCATTAAAACCCTTTCACCACTGTAGACCATAATGGACTCATCCAGATCAATGCAATATGGTACTAAAGTTACCTAGGGGTGAAAGGGTTAATGCTTTGTATTGTTTAAATCATCTACAGGTAATACTTGCAATAAGAATCAATGACAACTTTATTGGAAACAGTTACACGCTAGAAAATCATTCTTACGAAAACAAGTTCTTGTTTTTATCACTAGCACCATTTTTTGGCAGAGCTGTTGCAAGATTGTTTTTTGGGTCATTGCAACATTTTCACACTCGTACATATGGACTGGTCAACAAACCATTTTATACAAACACACGATATACAGGTAGAAGTAGAGGATGAAATACACACAGGAAGCTATATACGTTTGTCCTGTCGAGTGATCAACAGGGTTTTCATGAAGTAATTCATGAAATGCGTAATAACTTTTTCTTGTGATTATTGATTTCTTTAATATTCCTTCGTCCATATATACGTTTACATACTTATAAACTTATAACCTCATACATGAAAACCCCTGTCGTTTATCTATTAGATATAATAGGAAACTTTTTTTTATATTTCGCTACCCCGGTATTAAAAAATTATAAAATAATAAGATACCGACAAAGAACTTCAGAAAACATATATCAAAATATTTCTCTTACGCGTACATTACAACAACAAAAACATGATAACATCTATTTGACTTTTTCCTTGGTATGTTTAAAAACTCATAAACCCACTCCAATAAAGTAAGTTCTGTCCATAATTATGAAATAAATATATTATACTGTGCTTAACACATATTTTGTGTGATATTATTTTTCAGTAAACTAAATTCATAAGGATGGATCACGACATACAAATGCATATCTACATGCTAACTAAATATTCCAACACATTTAAAAGAAACGTCAAACATTATATATTATTGATAATTACATTTAATGATATCAAATTACATTTGTATGGGACTTTCTATTACGTTTTCTTTATGGAATATAAAATTGGTCCATAAACACAAGCAAAAATTTAAAAAAAAAAAAAAATCCCCAAAACATATTTTAACAAAGAATATACATTTGTAGTTGTTCAAAGCAGGTTTTTCATACCATAATAAAAATACTTGAAACATAAATATGAAAAAAAAAAAATCACAAAATTAAATGATCTGTAACAAAATTGTTCAACATTTTGTTTCACAGTGACACTTGACGTAACGTAACTAGAAAAAAAATCTGAGATTCTCAATGCACTGATCAATTGTATAAACCAGTTGCTGACAGCACCAACATATGTATAGCAATGAGATTAAAACCTACCTAAACACGATGGATGCAAAAAGAACGTTTTTTGGTGGTACGTATAATGAAGTGTTGGATGTTGAAAGAAAAAGAAAATCAGTAAAAACCTCAATATCACATATACTGCCTAAATTTAACCACATAAAGTGTCCTAATAAAAGGCTACTTGCACAAAAGCATTTTTTCTTGTAAAAAAACAACTTCTTAATGTGTTTAGAGGTTGGAATTATTTAAATTATATGTCTCTTGCTTTCTACTAAAACGGTTTTCAAGATCACATTGAATTTTTCTTTATTTTCTCTCATTACAAATCCTCATAACATTAAAATATAACATTAAAATATTGTTAAATCCTTAACGACAAAATGTAGGCAGTATAACAAAAAAAAATCAGTAAAGTTGTGTTGCACTAAATTATAAATTCGAATGAATCAAAAATGATTTTAATTTTTCCATTTTTTTTCCTGCTGTTGTCATCAAGTTTGACAGATGAGGTAGTTGACAGTCAGTAATTACGTAAAATGAGACCTGGTAATACCTTGTAAGAAAGGATATTTTACTACCATAGTATAACTTCAGGTTAAACAGTGTTTACTGTACACTGCCGCCTTGAACACAGATCAATAAGGATTTCATATCCAGGAACAACATTACGGTGGAAATTTATCTATTACGCTAGGAGTCAGGACAATACACTGACTGCATCAAAACAAATTGTTTTGTGATATTTTTTTGGTCTCTAGAAATCAGTTCTGTGATTGTTGAGTACCTACGGTTTCTGATCATCCTTCGTTAAATTTTTCAAACATCCTGTCTAGTAAATTTTGTGATACAAATTTCAGGATGCTCTCATCAGAATATCTGATCAACCTCATGTATTTTCTAAATTTAAAGACAGCAGCATTTTAAGATTCACAGCAAATTGTATATATATAACAATTATGTGCTCACATGTCTTAACCAGGTATTTTTGAAGTATTAAACAGAAAATTTCAATATAATGATTAATTGTCTCATTTAATTGAAAATGTAGTCTTTCTTAAAAATTTCTTTCTTGAAATTTATACAGCTTTGAAACAAGTTTTCCCAAATAGCAAATATGAAATGCACTAAAAAAAATGTACACAAGATTCTCCCTTTAATATACAGCTACACCTGGATTTGAACCCAGAGCCTTCGAGCACTAGATGGATTGCCCTAACCAACTGAGCTGTCAGGTGGGTAAGTGGTGAGTCCATCTTTTCGAGTCTAGACATACTATATCTTTGTCTTTGTCAAGGTAAAAAGACCTATAACCTGGGATGCTTTCGTGTATTACCATCCAAACAGTTGAACCGGTTGGACAAGAGTTGTTCATTTAAGAAATAAGGTTGAACCTAGTAATCTGATGCTGCTTTCAGGCAAGCCTCTTGACAAAGCCTTGCAAGGCCTGTGCGTAAACATTTGCAGGTCCGCGAGGTTTCATACCCGAAAATGTTTCATTTGAAAACAGACAAACTGGTTGAACCGGATATGTGAAAGGGGCCCAGGTGTTCCCTTGTTAGAAAACATAAACAGAATCACAGCTTCCAGCTTCAATTGTTCTTTGTAAGGGGGAATAAACACAGTTCCAGTGTCCTTTGTTTGTTCTAGGAACAGAATTCCACTTATTATTGTTCACATGTCATCCCATCTGCACACTCAGGTTCCTACAGCCGATTCCAGTTGTATAGATTCTGGTTGATGAAACAAGATTTCCTGGCTTTTTTCCTGGTAAATTTTTATCATTTCTTCTGTCTGCTGGTTAGCATCAATTACCTGGAGGTAACAAAAAGATTGTAAAGATGAACAAGAGGTTTCCCCTGATTTTAAGCATTATTTGACTGATACTGCATTTTACCAGTGATAAGCCCAGGAGGCCTGTGCATGTAAACTGTTCCCTTTGTTTTCAACCCACCATTAAACCTTAATTGAAAATCTTTCACCTTTCAATGACATCACTGAAACGAATTTATTAGATGAAGGGTATTTGTTGTGCATGTGTTTTTACTATACACATGGAAAAAATAGCTATCAAGAATCCAGGCATAGTACATAATATTATATGACAACTAATTAAAATGGAATTTTGAAACATGCAAAAAATGCAATGAGATCGTTCATGCCATATATCTTTTTCATTCATCTTAACTTATTCACCCCTGAAATTTCATAATGAACTATTCCAACCTTTGAGTTTGAAGAGTTCACATGTGTCTTCAAGGGTGAATGAGTTAAATTCAGGAAATTTCCTGGTAGAAATACTCACTAGAATGGGGCAGTCTGTCTGGAACTTTGTCTTGGCTACCAGCCAGTCTTCATGCAGCTCATGTAAAGCATAAAGGTAGTCCTGTCAAAGAAAATTAATAAATAATCATTTTAATTTCAAACTAAAACATCACTTTCTGTTATGCCACATTATAAGCTTTTTATTCAGAGAAAATTAGCACAGTAGGCTTTCAAATTAGAAAAATAATCATCCCAACTCAAATTGCATTTAGCCTGGTTAATACCATGCTAGTAATTTTGTTGTGGATGGTGTTTCACTTAGGGCTTGGGTTCATAGCCATTTGAAAAATCAGCATGGCTAAGTACAAATTTAGAGAGAGAGGGGGGGGGGGGGGGATACAAAAAATATTGCTGCCTTTTGGAATACAGTAAAGGGAAGTAATCCATCAGATCTAGGAAGCATGTCCACTATTTAACCATCCTGGATACCTCAGGGGTTACGCTCACTTTCGCTCTCTTCATCCCTGGCTTATGGTCATGACAAAATCAAAGGCTCAGTGTGCACACTACCTTGTTGATGAGACGTGAAGACTTGTTTGATCTTTGATGTAAACATAAAAAGAATCTGTCGGTCACATAAAACTGACAGGCTTTGAAGTCGGTTGTCGCTCCTCCGTAATCTTCAAAGGACAGGTATCAGTCTAGCGATTGGTCAAGATAGCCAGACGCTTGCCTTCAATTTTGCTATGACTTAATCCGGGGGTGCAGAGAGCGAAAGTGAGCGTACTGAATTTCAAAGATATGTTATTTTGGCGTTAACATATAAAGGCTAGGAAGGTAATGGCTATCGAGGATGCTATTTAACATAACCATTGATTTGATGATTTCATATATTAATGAACAGTAATTATTAATTACCATTGGAATGGTAATTTCTTCTTTCCGACATCTTTTCATAATTCTTTCGTATACTGTTTCCGGTTTCGTTTGGAGATAAACTGAAAACAGACAAGACCACATCTGACAGATTCATTTATGCTAAACTTGTAAAGATAAGACCATGCATGATACAGAAACCTATATAATTCCAAATTTGCTCATCTGGTGTGCAAGTCAAGTTTTCTTCTATTCATTCTTGTATGAACATTGGAAAAATCCAGATTCAATCGCTAAATCGTTGAGACTATGAAAAAAAGTCCTAAGGGAGGTATCCTAGATTTTCAAGCTCATATACAGTAGAACCTCATTATAATGCCACCATTTGTCCAGAGAAATTTTGGCAGTAGAATGGGGGAAATGTATAAAGGATAACAAGAAAAGGGGACTTCAAATATTTTGACAGTAAACGAGGTGGCAAATGAAACGAAGGGGTATTATACATATATCAAGGTTTCACTGTGCACAGCAAAATTCTGTGATGGGATTAACAACTGTGTGAGCTCTAAATAAACAAACTATTCTAAAATATGGCTGAGATAATCTGGGTATTAACCCTTTCACCCCCAGGTATAACTTTAGTAGACTCTACCATATGTGTATCTGGATGAGTCCATTCTGGTCTACAGTGGTGAAAGGGTTAAACCATCATAGTTTGTAATAACAAATTTCACAGTAACATGTATGTGGTCACATATTTTTACTTTTAAAAGAAATTTTCTTTCATTTTTGAATCTACAGAAATTTCGAATACCTTGGTAGTATCAAGATGCATTAAGAACCAAGGGAATGTTCTTGTATTGAATTTCAAAGACATGTTATTTTGGAGTTAACACATAAAGGCTAGGAAGGTAATGGCTACTTAAAATAAGCCATTTACGTGTATCATTTATGTGTATGCATTTATTTTTATGACGTGGAAATGGTAAATTATAAACATTATATAAAAACGAGTACCGGCACTAGATTTTTCTATATATCGGGGAACTTTCACCCCGTCAAATTTCTGCCCTATGTGGATGAAATATATATTTTCCCACTGTTAATTTCGCCTTTTACATCGGAGATCGTCAATATAGGGCAAGTATACGTACCAATCAAATCTATACTAAGATCATGGTGTTTTCTTATCCAATCAAACCATTCCGTCAGAATCACATATTCCATGGCCGTCATCTTACCACTGAAATATACAGATAGGAAATAAACACTTGAAATATATTGCAGGTTGCTTTTAAATACAGTCAAGCCTCAGAAACCAACCGCTACAATAATCATATTAAGTAGGTAAGAGATGGAGCATCAACACCAGGGATTCCGTGAGTTATGAGATTTTATTTGTTGACATGTTTCGGTAGGCTAGCTAGGCATCGGAACAATTTTACAGTGGTATTGAAGAGCTAAGGTGCTAATTACGGCTCACAATGTAATGACGTCGTGATATTGTTATTTAGATCACGTGATATCAACAAGTTTTGGCGGGAAATAGTGACTGCAAATTGGCGACGTTGTTATCGGCTACAATATATAAACAATGGTAAACAGCTAGACTGGCTTGGGTTGTTCTTCAATGACAATGAAATACAATGTCTACCCAAAGGACAATAGATATTTCTTACAAAATTACACATGAACCATGTACCAATAAAGTCAATTAAAGTGTTCTCATACTTTTACTTCCTCGTAGGCAGTGTTTTTTAAATTCCACGTGGGGATGGCCATACAGTATGGCGCAGGCCGGTAATATAATTATAATAGTTCACTTAGTTTTGAGACTGTGTTTCCTGTTTATTGTTCAAAGGTGTGCCTGTATTCAAAGGGTGCATTTAGAAACAAAAGTGTGTTTCAAAATGACTTCACATTTGATGATAACACTCTGCTGTGGGCACTAATCATATTAAAGGATCAGAATTATCATTTACATACATTCCAGAATGTTTTTCAATTCTTAATGTACACCTAGGCGTTTTATAATCTAGTCAATTTTGTGAACTTGGGACACTTGATTAAATTGTGGATCAAGTTATAATAATCCCACTAAGTCACTAATTCAGAGAAAAAAAATCACTTTCTAAACTTATATCTAATTACTCCAGGAACTAGTTAAAACACGAACGATATTAATCCAGAAATTAAGACTTCTGTTTAGATAATAAATATGAACACAATTACTGAATTCCACCCTTTATTTAGGAACTGACATCATGAGATTACATAGGATTTGTTTGCAGTTTAACGACCTCGCAACAGTCAGGGTCCTATGCGGACGGGAGAATATACAGGAACATTACAATGCTCTACCCATCTTACACTGTATGATTTCAGAACTGGCAATTCATAAATACTGTATTTGAGCTAATTAGTGCCTAATCCCTTATGAGCACCCCCATCATTTTTCCGCCCAATAGTCTCATACCTTCGCTATAACTTATTATATGTCAGAGAGAAAGTGTCAATTACATCCATATAGCTACATATAGGGGGGAAATTGAAAAGGTTTTGCAATCATTTTAATATTCCTAAAATTATAAGAGCCTGGAGCATTTGTCTGGTTAAATACAGTTTATACAACTTAGACATTAATACTAGTGCAACCAAAAATACCTTTTGTACAGATTTTCCACAAAACAATACTTGGCGCTGAAAATGGACCTCTCCATCAATTTGATCGGTTGTTCCTGAAAAAATAGTTTATGTCTGAAAGTCACATGGAAATTCTTCTCTTGTTTGTCAAAAATACATTCCAATGCTGTGCATTTCATCATTTTTTTAAAAATATTCATCGCAATGTCATTTAAAATGTTGTAATTTATTGCAATACGGAAATCACACAACTTTAATAATAGAGAAGTTAATAACGATAAACAAAATTTGCATTTAGGTTTTTATTTTTCTGCATCTTCAATATTCAATTAGATTCTATATTCAACTACTATAGATCTATTGCCATGTTTTGGATGCAAGAATGTAAATATAGCATTCAATGATGTACTTACTGGTACTTGAATATGTCTGTCAACCATCGTTAACTGAACATAGGTTTGTAACGTCAAGGACCATCGCTCGGGGTCTTCATACATCTTTGCCTACAGGTAAACAAGACATAGACATGAAACTGAAGAAAGGTCAGGTATCACAACCAGTAAGTGTTTATTTTTTTATGTTTTGATGACTTGTATGGTACATACCATGTCGACTTAACCCTTTTGTAAGGGTAAGTATTTGTAACGTGTTAATTTCAAGTTTTCGGGATACTGACTAGCGTAAGATTTTAGTGTTGTTTACAGTGTTTAAAGGAAGAGTTTAGAGACATCCAGGTTATACATCCTGATCGATGCATTTTGAGCATTTGCGAATGACAGCAGTTTTAGGCCTTCCTTTTAAAAAGAACAATAAGAAAAATGCCCTATAAACCCTTGAATTTCATATCTGAATTTCTGTGTGAATTCTGTTTTACATACATTTTGTATTTGTATCACAATCGCTATGGTAATTTGTGAAATGTACGAACCATACAAGTACGCACTCTGACTTACTAAAACATTATGTCCTTCTACATTCCTCCACTTTTTAACCGGTTCCTCATACACCTGAAAATGTCAAATCAGTTAATCATTATCTGGGAAATATGATTCAAGAAAGGGCCATATGAACTTATTATAGTAAAACCTCGATATAATGTCCCTCGTTTCATTCGCATCTCACTTACAGCCAACATATTTCAAGGTCCCTTCATCTCTTTTTTAGAATGATTTTTCACATTTCCTTCAATTTATCACCAAACCCCTTTATAATGCCAAAATCTCTCTGGACAAATGGTGGCGGTAAAACAAGGTTTTACTGAACATGCAGGAAAAGTACTACTTTTTAAATACATTCAGGAATGGGACTACATTTATATAACATAGGGACTATTTTTTTACAGAAAAACTGGTGTAACAAGGGTTGATCAATCTATATAAAAAAAACATGAGAATTTTCTCATTCAAGAAAAGTGTCCTGACAAAGACTATGTTTTTTTTTATCAAGACACTGTTACCTGGTATGTTTGCATGGTGTTATAGTCACTATCATTACCTGGACGTCGCTATATTTCTTGAAATGTTCTAAGAATGTTGTCTTCCCACTTGCGATGTTTCCTTCCACACAAATCTAAATGCATAAATTATAACAAAATTAATACAATAAACATAAATATATATATAACTTGATACTAAAGTAGACTGTTGAGTATTGTGACCACGTTATTATTTGAGCCATTTCTACCCCAAAATCCATTTAAATTTAAAACTACGGACTGAAATTTCAAATCTACTGAATACTTCCCCGACACTTTTAAAATGTTGGTTTTTTTTTTACAGGAATGTCATGGTAGGGAATTCAAATTTTCAGAAATTAGACAACTTTGATAATTCAGTCTATTTTGTCATGTTGTTTCATATTTTTTTTCTCTTTCTCTTGTAAACCAATGAGCGCATCCTTCTGGTTCTTCAGAAAAAGTTGTTTGAGTGTTTTAAATGACATCCGTTACATGCCTTGAATAAGGATCAAGGACAGTTCTTTTTGCAAACTTTGTAGTGCTCCATACCGGTTACTAGCTACTGACCAAATATCATGACTCTATCTAGGCCTGTCTATTTTTCTGTCACTGTATTACGATATTCCCCCTTGTGACCATGTTTGTTACCAGATTTTGCTTTCCTTCAAAAGATTAGTAAACAGACTGATTGCTCATTACAGGAAGGTTTTTATTTTCCCCTTATGGGCTCCGTTTAGCAAGTTTCAATCTCCATCAGCTTAAGATACTTTCGATTAATTTTGATTGTAATCACAGGTACATGTAACCCTGGTAAATACTAGCCGCAATATATCGCTCGGCTATAGAGAACTTCTCTTTAGCTAGAACGGTTGAGCGTTAGACTAGTAAGCCAGAGGTCCCGGGTTTGATCCCATGCGGAGGCAGTGATTTATATTTAATTAATCATGGGCTCTGTTACATTGGCGCCCACGTAGGGCCCCGAAAAAAATACTCGGCCTTGCTCCACAAGCATCGCTGTTACCCCTGGAAAACTCGAGGACGAGTTCTTTACTGGAAGGGGAGTATGTAACCCTGGTAAATACTAGCCGCAATATATCGCTCGGCTATAGAGAACTTCTCTTTAGCTCGATCGGTTGAGCGTAAGACTAGTAAGCCAGAGGTCCCGGGTTCGATCCCATGCGGAGGCAGTGATTTATATTTAATTAATCATGGGCTCTGTTACATACATATTACGACCGAGTGAAAAAATAAGGTAATATGTATATTAAGCATATTATCGTATCTTTTCTCTCAGTACCTGTGTTGTGAGCAGCCGAGTGGTTCTCAAAAGAGGTTCATCAAAGAAAAAGTTTACAGACCAACGACAGATGCCAACAGATTGTGAAACCAGTCACTTGACCCTTTTAGTCAGTTGAGCTACTAGTGTAAAATACTTTTTTTTAATTTTTTTTTTATTTTCCAAGATTTTCAGAACATGTACATTATACAGAACATCACTTACCGTTAACACTTTATCAGGATTTGTGGATAAAGCCGCTGTCATATGGTCTCCTAAAAATAGAAGAAAAACATGAAAGAGACATTTAATTTAAAGCAAAACTGTCAGATAATGCTGTAATCGGGGATTCCACAACTGTTTTAGTTTACCACACTTATTTTGGCAGCTGAAATATCCGGCAAAGATAAATTTCTTAAAAAGGACAAACAGCTTACTCGGTAAACAAAATCATATTTTGTACCACTTCACGTTAGAAAAAAAAAGAATGGTTTGGAAATATTATGTCTAATGTTGTCAAATACGGCACGTCTAATTATATATATATATGTATATAAATTGCCTGGCCGAGGAACAGCAAAGAACAGTCTCCAAGTCTGCCTTTCTGAGGCATTACACTTCTAGAACTAAAAAGTGTTTAGTAAGCACTATGTTATAAGTCACAGATCAGACTTATTGTTGATTTTCACATGACGTAAACATTTTCTATTGTGTTTAAAATACAACGAAACTTCATGGATTATTCCCCTGAAAGATACTGTATGTTAAAGTAATGTTCTTTTGTTAGGACTCTGAATCAAGTCAAAATATCTGTAAATATCGTAGTTATACACTATCTACAAAATCCGAGATGTAAACAATCAACAATCATGTTGATATTGCATAAGCAAAAAAACATACGGTCGGCATTTTCTTACCATATAACGTCGGAGACAATTTTTGAGTTTTCTTGCAATTTGCCTTCCCCATAATAGATACCGTTAGCGATCTCGTCGGTGGAACTACCTTTTGAACCCTTGCTAACGCAGTGCTGACAAAGCCTTTAGTAAGAAGGCCAAACACATGCTTCTTCATGGTGCCAAACAGAAAGGATATTCCCATGTAGACCAATCAGTGATCGTTTATTTATAGAAAATGAGTGTAACACTAATCTTAATTATTGAAGTGTTTACACCAAAAGTGACCATAACGAAGCTTTAAAATGATAAAGACTTCTTGAGGTGACCGATATCAGCAGTGCAGATGTATTTGGAAAAGCTACCGCATTTATCTGACCGTCATGGGATCGGAAAACAGAACAGCGACTTCATGCAATCAATCAATCAATCAATCGCATTCGCCCATCTATCAACAAGATTGCATTTATTTAATAAAATCAACAATAAAATAAAGCTTAAGTACACTGTATTAAAAATCTTGTGACAAATTAATTCCCGATCACATAATTAAGAATTATTTTTCATTTTATGCTGATTGGGCAGTATTTCATTCTAAAAAAATAATGATGTTGTTATCGTGTATATGGTATTAGTAGGAGTATGTAATATGCATTATTAAAATATGTTTTAAATAGATACTTTAATTTGTGACATATATTTTACAGGCCATTTGGTTCAAAGATCGAGTGTCATATCACACCCCATTTTGATGATATAAAGGCTATTAAGGAGATATAGGCCTACAGACTAGTTACATCTCATTCTACAGTTATTGTTTATATGCACGGAATTAAATTAGAAATCCCTGCTATCTAAGTCAGCCGTGGTATATTAATTGTGAGGAAAACTAACAAGACTCTGAATTAACTGTTCATACCTTTTCCATTTAAACTGAGTATGTTAGTTTGATGATGATGATGATGATGATGATGATGATGAACAGTTTCTTGTCCCTTTTTTAAAAGGTGACATTAACAGAGTTTATTTCCTAAATGCTCGGAGAAATGTTCTGTCTCTATAGATTCAGAAAATTATGTTTTACAAACAGAACCGAATTATAGGTGTCTTTTCAAAATATACTGATTCGTTATTATGATTCACATACTTGTAAAAGTGGTAGTGGTACCTCGCAGTTTCGTTTACATCTAAATATTCATAACTTATGTTTTGGGACTTACCGATCAATAATAACAAGTTAAAAAATAATCCTGGCAGCGGTGGGATTCGAACCCACGCCTCCGAAGAGACTGGTGCCTTAAACCAGCGCCTTAGACCGCTCGGCCACGCTACCGTTGGTGTTTCCGCATTTGACTAGCGAGTAATAATGAAATAGGCCTTTCGACTGAATCTTTTATCTTAGCAGTGAAAGGTTCCTCACATATAATTTTACAACGATGCCTTTTAGAATTGCTGTTGATCGTTTAATCATGGAATTAGATTCTATAATGCTATATGTAATCCGTGGTTAATTTTGACAAGACAGTGCTGTGAACTTTCTGATTATCTATTTTTTGTCCGTGATAGCCTATGAGTTGTTCTTCACGTGCAATACGTAAGGTTATCGGACGACCATTTCAATATCCTACCCAGTATCAACATAAGACCTCATATTAACCCGAGGGTTCAGAAGCCCGAGAGCTGATATTGGTAGCATTGGCTTTTCGATCATCAACTTAATTTGAACATAAAGGGAAACTTTACCTTTGATAACTCATTTCTGAAAAGAGAAAAAAACAAAAACTTTGCGGGACTTAAAAATGAAAAATGACAGAGGTGAAATAAACCAAACAGTAACCAAGAACCCAGATAGCAGACATATGTTGGCCCGACGTTGGCCCAATACATCAGGGTTGGTTGGGCCATCTTTGGAAAATTACGCTGGGCCAACATTCTTTTGTAAATTAACGGTTGGTTTTACAACGTTCAACTAACGTTCGGCCAACGATACTAAGCCAACGCCGACGTAAGGCCAACCAATCGACCAACAACCAACGTTGGGCCAACATATATCTGCTATCTGGGAATAGACTTCTGACGGACAAAAGAAACAAAATCAGCGGGACTAGATAGGGCTGACCGATGGTCAACGGAGGTGTCCTAGCCCCACTCAGCTATACAGCTATGTCCAAAACGAAATTACGGGGAGGTTACTGTTTATACGAAAAATTCCAGAACAGTGGGACACTGATCCTTAATGATATACTCACATGCAATTTAAAGTTTATGCCAACTTGGTCGATATCAGTATCTAAATCAGTACTACTGTTGTCTGAATGGTGTAATATTTAACTGGTCATCTATTGGCCATGGAATTGATTTTGTCAACGTTATTTGAACATCTTGACACGACGGACTAAAATACAGGAGGAATGCGTCATCAGCAAAGAATTGTAAAAAGAATAAAACTTTCCAGATTATCCGATGTATCATTAATATATATATATATATAGATTAAAACAGTAGTCCAATGGCAGTACCTTGGGGAACGCCAGCATTGATCTCTTTAAAGAAGATATGGAATTATTTATAAAAAAAGTTGCTGACTTTGCCTGGAGTAGCCTTTTTCCAGTTAAGCATTTTTTTCTCTCACAGATTTTAATTCTACTAAAAGTCGCCCATGCCTATCAAAAGCTATCTGAATGTAACAAAATATAATACAAAGAGTGTTGTCTTTTTTTGAGTCATTCTCATATTTTGTCGTATAGTTCAATTAACGCGTGTACAGTGGAGTGACTTGGTTGGAAACCTAACTGAAGTTTATATATAATCAATCATCAAGGAAGTAATTGCGAATATATTTGGTTACTACGAGCATTTAGAAACTTTCCCTTTTTATAGCTTTCAATTCAATGACATTCGCGTAGTGCTTTGATAGTTCGCTGTTTGTTTTGAAAACAGCCGAAAGGGTCTCTTCCCACGGCACCCCTGCTGGTCGGGGAATTGAGAAAGATCGTAAGAGGCGGCTTGCAAAATTGGGGATTTGCGTTTGCGCTTTCTACTTTGGGACACAAATGCGACCAAAATAAATCTGCAGCACCCATTGCAATATTTGGATATTTTTGTTCCTCTCTTTTTCTAACTACTTTTTGATTTCTTGCGCCTTGCTTGGCAAAACTTCACTTTTGGCTTTAATGTTGAACGTTCGCCCATGCGAGGAAGGCAATTGCCAGTCTCCTCAGGCCGGGACATACCAAAGTCCTTTAAAATGGTAGTTGTTATTCCCTGCTTAACGTTCAGCATCTGGGATATGGCAACAACTGGTTCACCCGTTGTCAGTATAGTGTGACTGGACGAAATGTTGTTCTGGGTGCGTTTGGCAGGGTATTTCAGAGAGCTATCAGAAGGAGGCAATTACACCAACATACCCTGCCTCCAGCACACATACCCACATGCATGCATTCATGCACAGCACCCACGGAGGCATGTCCTCAAATGACCTTAGCTGTCGATAGGACGTTAAACCCTATAAAACCAACCAACCACCTCGCACGGTCAGATATCCTGTCAACAGTAATGCACCACAAACAGGCATGTCACTTTGCACTGCCAAGATGACTTGTGGAAAATGAACCGAAGGAAGGGGGAACCTAGTTGTGATAAGATTTCTAAAAAAGACTTATCCATTTCAGCAGACGTCTTATTTCCAATATGCCACGGCAGGATGAAAACAGATTGTGTTCCAATGAATCTTAGACATCATAAAACCTATAGAGCAAAATACGACAGAAAAGCAAATGTTTCTGATAAACAATATCCACGACATGTACAGGACATCATAGCAAATTAAATGGAACATGAAAAGTTGGATAAATAAGGCCTTCAGGAATTAGACAATACGACTGTTCATTTATGTCCTGATGCATCCTCGATGCTTCAGGGGTAACGCTTACCTCCGCTCTCTGCACTATATAATACGTCATAGCAAAATTGAAGGCACGCGGCTAGATATTTGATTGGTCTTAAGTAAAACAAAAGCCTGACCGATCGCGAGGCTGATACCTGTCCTTTGAAGTTTAGAGAGGAGCGACACCCGACTTCAAAGTCAGTCAATTTTACAGTTACGAAACCGAGAGATTCTTTTGATTTACTTAAAAGGATCAAACTAGTCTTCTCATCCCATCGTGGTGTGCACTCAGCTTGCGATTTTGCTATAACATATTCCAGGGGTTCAGGGAGCGAAAGTGAACATAACCTCTTGAGTATCGAGGGTTGTCCTCATGATGACATGCATGTTTCAGAGTTTTCTGTTACAGAAAAAAACAGAGGTCATGCTTAGTCGAATGTTCTTGCGACTTATGATCCCCCAGATAGTATTTATATACATGCACAGTCAAATATTGAATTCCAAGCAGCATCTTGTTTACGAATGTATCTCAAACTGGTGCTGGTATGTCAGGAATGGGACTCTAACTGGAAATAGGACGCCACGATGTCATGTCTTAAATCCTCAGGGGTGAATGAGGTAAAGATAATCCGTACTCAACGCTGCATATTATGGTATCATTCATATTTTGTGGATCAATCGGAAGTGTCAGTTAGTGCAACAGCATCGGAGGAATTCCTGTACCCCCCGCTCTTCAGCTGCTAGAAAAGAAACGGGGAAAATTGAACGAGTAAACTTACATACATTCATATGTAAACTTCAGCATCTTAAAAGTACTCATCACAGGTGAAATATCCGCGGCAGGTTTACACGCGTTTGTCAACATTTACAGACGGCTCCCGCAAGTTATAGTCATTGATTCTGATGACATTCCTTTCACTGGAATATCTTGCCTTGATGTGAACGATTTTCTTTAACTCCATCCAGTTTGACATTTAGCGATTTATCCGTCGCCACGAGATGCCCAATTTAACACCATGGCAAAACATTGCTTCTTTCCGGAGGTAAACGAAAACAATAATAATAAAAACAAAACTATAATGCGAACTCAAAATCTTTCAAACTAGGGCAACAGAATAAAATCAGGAAATATTTATTTGGATTCCCTTAAAATAGTACAAGAAGAATAGGACCAGATGTTTCAGAAGGTTAAGTGTAATAAGTGCCATGTAAATATAAGTCGAATCATAGTAATCTCACATCCTCACATCGAGAATTCGGGTAGTAACAGCAAGATCATAAAGTACTCTCATGAGCATAATCAAAGAAAGTGACATTGATCAAACAAAATGTATTTAATCTATTACAACATCAAAGAATAAGCTTGTTAGTGTCTCTTTTGGAAATTAAACAAATAAACTCCAAAATACATGTGTTGGTGTTAATCTGTTTAATATACAAATGTACATTACAATCAAACCTCTAGGACCACGTTTGGTTATCTTGCTATATTTCGCACTTCGACGGTACGGTGGTAAGTACAAAATATCTTATTAGATTCTTGGAATAGCTTTGGATTTCTTTGGTTCATGTATGGCTCTGCAAAGCAAAAATCTTCGAATGCTTACAACGATATCTTCAGCTAATCAAAATGTGTCCGACACTGTTTTATATCTGACCTACATCTTGAGCAATGTCTCATCACCAGTCAGAATGAAATATTATGATATTGTATTCATGTAACACATCCGTACATTAAAACAATATTTTATAATATAAAACATAATACATGGAACATTGCAATATTTCTCAATTCATGACATTATGTTTAATGCGTCTATTGCGAAGACGTCTAACCCCCAAATTAACAGAAATACGTCTGCAGGCATTCACTTTTTCCTCGTTTTAGGCCATTGTACGCGATTTCAGAAAATCAATTTAGCTTGACACTGGCTCAAAACATGCATCAGTTGCATTTTGGTCGTACACTAGCTGGAATATTGCCGCTGGTACTGTTTAACGACTCCATTACTCAGAACTTGCCATCGGTAAAAATAGCCAGAAATCACTCAAAAACAGCAGATAATAACAATACTGAGATAGACACTCACTCTAAAATATTGAAACAATACACGCTCAACAAAGCAATTACATATGTTTGCTATACATGCACTCGCTCAAAACTCACGGTCAATTAATTGAGCTTCTCACTCATCCAAATTGCACTCGATATGATTAGTTATACTTTCACTCAAATATAGCAGTAGATAAATCAACGATGCATATCACTCAGTTTAGATATACACCAATTGAATATACGTAGTTAAAATATTAAAAAATAAACCCTGACTCAAAAAAAAGCAGTTGATAATATGATGTTAATTAATTTATATCAAGTTTTGTTTTGAAATCTTTACACACAACAACAGCAAACAGTATTATTGTGCCGAGTAACCCATCCAAATGGCGTACAGCCTTGTTGACAAACGTGATGTCATTAGGACATGACGTCATATACAATGCTACTAATTCCTGTACTTTTTTATACATTATTATTTTCGTCATTTTACTTTAAAATGTAACCAATAAAAATTGAATGGTTTTCATTGTAATCATATAGATCTTTTATATATGGTATTCAACGGACAACTATCAAATCAATCTCTACCCGGAATTGATGTTACTTACAAAGAGTGAGCATAAGGACCGAAATCTCTAGATAGATATTGCTATTAAATGTAATTTATATTTCAATCGAATCATTTTAGCACAAACACTTAACTTAACAATTAAAGCTTAGCATTTACTGTGTCGGCTCTTATCCATGGGTACAAATCTTTCTTCATGGTCTGAAGCATATCGCGGTCTATACCAGAAGGACCTAGAGCCTGGAGAGCTATCTGTTTGGCGGTGTTGAGAAGGTTCTCTGGCTCAACCGCCTCGTCCACTATCCCAAGTTCCTTAGCTCTCGTGGCTGGAATCCTCTTGGCGAACAGGACAGCTTCCCTAATGCCTTCCATCCGGGGGATTTTAAGTCTACAAACACAAAGCTCTTTGTTATGGTATCCTTGTGGTGTCCTTATAGTATCTAAATACTACAAATACAGCGAGTCTCGTTATGTCGTCCCGTCTTAGTAATATTACATATATACCAGAAACCCGCATTATGTCGTTTTTCTCTACAAAGGGGATGTTGAAGAGATGCTTCCCAACTGAAAGACTTGAGATCTTTTTACTTTTCCTACACCTACTCTCTGTCTCCATTGGTATGACCCTGACTGTCTTAAGGACGTTAAATTACAAAAACGCTCAGAGTTCTTAAAATGTATACATTTCAAAAACTCCGTACGATCAAACAGGAGATCTTCAGTCTTATAAATAGAAATAAACATGCAAATTCATTAAAGAAACTCAAAACACAAATACAATGGAAATTCTCTATGAGGACATCACAAAAATATATCCGTATGGTGATATGTGTAACAATTGTTAAAACGAGAAACTTTTAACACGATTTTATCGTACGTTTTGAAGTTAAATTTGCTAAATCCGAAAAGTTTTCTCAGGATAGTATTATATCTTAAAGTATAATCTGTTAAAACATGATTTAAGGATTAGCCTACATAAACCGCAACGCCTCCGAATATACCAAAGTATCAATAGAATTATACTTTGAACTCAAAATCGATAAAAACTAGGACCAAATGTAAACAAAGGCAAAATGTACATGCTTAGACCTTTGAAAAGTACAAGGAAAATAAAGTCAGGAATTTCAGAAGGGTAATCGTGTTCTGCTTCATTGGTGACACTCGTCATGTAAATTAAGGTAGCAACCAAGTAAGGGCACGTCCTATCATCGAGAACTCGGTTAGTTACAACAAAACCACAAGGCTCACCAATGAGCATAACCAGAAATCAACGTTCATGTCGCTTTTTCCAAGGAGATCGAATGATGGCAACTATAAAACTTGTCTGTATATTACATCAATCTTCATCTTTAGAAGCTTTGTTGTAAGTTCGTACCTCAGTAGTCTACATATATAACGGCAGTAATGAATTCATATTGTGCTCCATATGTGGTTATTCAAAGGAAAAAAAATCAGAATATGTAAATGTGTACAGATGAAGAAAATCCGAATGAACGGATTTGGTTTTTTTTTGCTACACTGTAAATTGGATTTACTGATGTAAAAATGTTTTTTTTTATCTCCCTGTTGTGTCTACATGGAAAAGCTAACTTGTGCACGATCAGGCTACGTAGAATGTAAGAGGGAACTTCCCGACGCACGGACGAATTGATTGGGAACCCAATTAATCAAAACACTTAAGCTTACAGTATATAACCAGATTGTCAAACTTTTCCAATAAACGGAACTTGCATTGTTATTGAATGTCAAATAAGTCGCTGTGCGTTGCTAAAATATTGATTTCATGGATTATCATCAAAGCACCATTTTTATTTTAATCTGGACTAGTGAGGTTCCAGTTCAATACCGACTTACCTCAATAGGTTACATACTTCCTGATCCAGCGGGCGTTTAAGGTGAATCTCATTCCAACATATCCAGCCTCGTTTTGAGTTCATCACGCGATAGTCATGCGTTATAGCTATAAAAGCTCCACCAGCAAACGAATGACCTACAAAAAGGAAAACGTAAATACAATGGCTTCGTTTTCTTGAGAAATCTTCTTGCTCAGATATAGGAAATATGAAACTGATTGTAACATTTCAATACGACAAACTTTACAATGGATACTTGTTCTTTTTAGCCATACTATACAACGGATATTCAACCTCAAACGCCTGCTTAGTATTAATTATTGCAATGAAGATTGGAGCTAGAATACCGTGTTTCGTAATTTCAAAATCGTTGACAATGTTTACCATTGATCAGAGCAACCGTTGGTACGGGGAAATACACGAGACGATATTGTAAATCCTTAATGCCTTTCATAAAAACGTTGAGAACATTCTCTGTCTGTGACTGCATCCACTGAAGGTCAAGGCCATTGCTATAGAACTTCCCTTCTCCGGTAGTGATGACCGCCTTCACATCTTTATTTCTTTAAAAAACCAGAAAAGTTACATAATGAAATAACAAAACTTACTGTAAATTTTTCGGTGAAACACCAAATCCATTTTCCAACTTGGTACAAACCTTTTTCCTTCAAATGGAATAGTTATATTATACCAAAGCCATGGAAATTAAAATGAAAATAGAATCGTTTAATGTCTGTCGTCCTTCAGTCAATGTTCCCCCGATGATGTGTAACCTTCCTGTAGAAGACGGGCCTGGGCATCTATAATCCACAAATACGGCGTTTCAGAAGGTATTCAACGAAAGAAAGATGATCAGTTTTCTTAAGTTTCAAAAATAGTTATTGACCAACATGAAAAAAGGATAAGGAATAAGTTATTACAACTTAGCTATATATGTATATAATTTTATAAATTCACTTTGCTGAACCGATAAGTTCATTATTCATTTTGTTGGGTTTTTTAAAACAAAAAGTCCCCTTTAATATGTTAAACATATCTGAATATCCAGAAATTTAACCGAAATAACAGGGAAACTCAAAATTGATCGTTCAAATAACACATATTAGGTATTATTGTATAATTAATTTAACCAAATATAATCCTGAACCTGCAAGGTTACTTTTCTGGTAAAAAAATTCCAAACAGTATTTTATTGAGACAAAATTTGTACTAAAACGTAAATGGAATATTCATATATTTCATGGCCGGTTTGGTCATATCGCAACGTGCTGACCAGCCGTTAATGCCACTTATTTAAAGTTTAACGTCAAGCAATTTGTTTGTTTGTTTGGGGTTTGAGGACGGATGCCTAGGGAGACACCGCCTGAAACAGAAAGTAGATAGAAAGATAGAAGAAGGAAGGACAGGAAATAAAAAAGATCCTAAGTGTTGCAATGGGGGCAGCAGATACAGTTGGGTCTCTTCCATGTCTTCTTCGTAGAAGTCACAGAAGAAAACGACAGAACACAGAGCAGTACGTTCTTATTTTATGGAATTTGGTTTTCTCGGTCAAGAGACAACCAAAAAACTACCTCAGTTGATTGGATACTTCATACTTAGATCAAAAGCGATGTATTGCGATGTCGGGCGTGATGACGCAAGAAATTAAAGAGAAAGAAACCGATCCCAAATCTTGCAATGTGTACAATATATTAATTTTGATCACTGGAAGGGATACAAAAGCAAATCCAAATCGAAGAAACTAAAATTAGATCTGCTTCTCTCATTGCAATACCTGGAATCTACATAGTTTCTTTTCATATTTTCCTACTCTTTTTCTTTGGGCAGTGTCTCCTTGGAGAATCAACGTGTAGACAATTGATTGGGTTTTATTTTGTTTAACAACTATTAACAACTATGGTCATTAAATGACGTGCCTGCAAGTGTGTTTTGTATGCGTGCATGTGTGCTGGAGGCAGGATATGTTGGTGTACCTCCTTGTGGTAGCGCGGATGTAATGCACTATTGGCGTCTGCTCCCAGTGTGTTTCACTATTAAGGATCCCCGTCCCAATGCATGCAAAACACTAGAGGATTCCACTCTAGGTTTTCGTACATGTAGTAACTACCACATTCATTTCGTTTTGGGTATAACCGTATAGTCCAGTTAAATTAGCCGATAAAATAGACAAACATAGAAAAAAAGTAGTGTGACTTGGCCAGAGTACTGTAGTTGACCAGCTAGCTCAGTTGGTTAGATCGGCAGTATCATCATGGCCTGGCCAGATTTCAATGCATAATTACAGTCTTTGGCAGTTGTTCGGAGGTCCTTAAACTTTGACCTATTCTCAATAAAATACAGAAATTTATCTAAAGATCTTTTGCATAACATTTGATATAAAGCAATGTTTGCTATCTTCAATAGTCAGGATAACATCAAATAATAATGCAAATCGATTGTGAAAAGATGCATGTAGTACAATCAAAAGGTGTTGGTAGATGACGTTTCGTCATTTGTCTGATGAAGGTGACAGAGTACATACCATACTAGTCATCGAAACGTCACATATAAATACTTTTTTGGTTGTACTACATGAATCTTTTCACAATCCATACCTACCAACCTGAAGAAAATGTTTATATATAATGCAAATCTCTTAAATATGACCGTCTGTACATTACGCCCTACATATTGACCTTCGTCGTTCTGGACGTAAATGACCTCCCCTACTTACCGTCGTATATATACTGACCTTTCAATTTCATCCAATATTTTATTCATTTCATCAACGAACATTTGATTGAGCCTGTTTTCACCGTTCTGCATCGTAATGATGGCGAATCCATCCTCTGTGTATTCCACCCTCATGACCGCCATGTTGACTAGCAGACGACAGGTGATATCTTATTTAGGAGCATGTGTGTACATAGGGAATCCCGTAATCGGCGTCCTCACTGTTGACCCAAATACCTTTGCTCACATACAATTGATACCTTTTAAACTTAAAAATAACAAGAATGTTTATGAACATGTACTTTTGCTGTTTATTACTATTTGTCTTGATTATTAATCAAGAAACCCTGTCCCATTGCAATCTAAAAAAATCAAATATAAATAGTTACTACTTATATAGTTGTAGCAAAGCATAGTTGTGTCAGGACACTTGCGTTAGGTAACACAGTCGGTTAGAGCGGCAATATAACAACCTCAGGTCCCGGGTTAGAATCCTGTCCCCCGGTGAAATTTTACACTAAGAAACACTATTATTGATTATATTTTGTTCTTCCAACATGAAGCGGGCAGTACATTTTGAAAAATACTTTCCGACGTTACTGTGTTGCTGACATAATATATATTAAAAAGAACATGAATTTAAATATTTATCTTTACCGTCAAACAACAAAGGCAATTTCATTTAATATTTCGTGGTTGTTTCATTCACATCATGAACACTTTAAGCAAAAGATGAAACGCCATTTGCGTCAGTAATTGTCATACCATGTTTTGTCACGATTAGGATGTTTGAAATATTTGAATAACTTCCGATTGGAGAAAAAATCACTCGTAAAAGATCTCGATGTTATCGCTTATAAAAATATTCTTGGCTGATAGGTTTATATAAGGCGGTACAACATTCATATAAACAACTCAAAATGTATTATCATGACGATAAGTTTATATCTAAATTCGGTTTTTCCTTCTAAACAGTAGATTTCAAAGGTTTATAGTTTTAGATGGTGAAGTGTTAAGTTTATGTTCATAACTGTTCCCTGTCATTTCATTATCACATCACCAGGTTTTCTTACGAGAACGTGACATAACCTGGACTTGACCTACATTGATAAGGCGGATATTGTCAATAAAGCACAAGTCTACCCCGATGTATGCTAACCTGAATACAAGAGGCCCAATGGGCCTGAATCGCTCACCTGGTATTAATCTCACACTTGTAATCTTAAAAATGGACTAAAATACAGCTACACGCAGAATATCAGTGTTTGATTCATAAGAACCTATTAAAAGATTTAAACATATGACGCCTGTGACATTGAATGTCCAACAAGGACATTAGGTTGAACAGAGTTTAAAGTCTTCGAACCCAGCATGCTTTTGGCAAAATATCATAACCCTGGACCTATTGGTTATACAGAACAAGTCATTTAAAGATTTAAACATATTTTGACCACTGTGACCTTGAATATGGGCGAAGGTCACTCATTTTGACAGCCTGTTAATGACCAAATATCATCACCCTTGGCCTTTGGCTAATTTAGAAGAAGTCTTTTAAAGGTTTTAAACATAGTTGTCCCCTGTGACCTTGAATATATGTAAAGGTCATTCATTTGAACAAACTTGATAGCCCTTTATCCCAGCATGCTACTGGCCAAATATCATTATCCTAGGCCTCTTGGTTATTCAGAAGAAGTTGTATAAAATTTTTAAACATATTTGACCCCAGTGACCTTGAATATAAGTAAAGATCATTCATTTGAACAACCTTGGTTGCCCTTTATCACAGCATGCTACTGGCCAAATATCATCCTCCTAAGACTTTCGGTTATTGAGAAGAAGTCATTTAAATGTTTTAAACATATTTGATCCCTGTGACCTTGAAAATAAGTAAAGGTCATTCTTTAAAACAAACTTGGTAGCCCTTCTTCACAGCATGCTACTGGCCAAAAAGCATCTTCCTAGGCCTTTTGGTTATTGAGAAGAAGTTGTTTAAAGGTTTTAAACATAGTTGTCCCCTGTGACCTTGAATATAAGACAAGGTCATTCATTCGAGCAAACTTGGTAGCTCTTCATCATAGCATGCTACTGGCCAAAGAGCATCTTCCTAGGCCTTTTGGTTATTGCGAAGAAGTCATTTAAAGGTTTTTAACATATTTAACCCCTGTGACCTTGAACATAAGTAAAGGTCATTCATTTGAGCAAACTTGGGATACCTTCCTCCCAGCATGCTACTAGCCAAATATCATTATCCTAGGCTTCTTAGTTATTCAGAAGAAGTTGTCTAAAGTTTTTAACATATATGACCCCTGTGACCTTGAACATAAGTAAAGGTCATTCCTGTGAACAAACTTGGTATACCATCATCCCAGCATGCTACTGGCCAAAGAGCATCTTCCTAGGCCTTTTGGTTATTGCGAAGAAGTCATTTAAAGGTTTTTAACATATTTGACCCCTGTGACCTTTAATATAAGTCAATGTCATTCATTCGAACAACCTTGGTAGCCCTTCATCCCACCATGCTACTTGCCAAATATCATTATCCCAAGCCTCTTGGTTATTCAGAAGAAGTTGTTTAAAGTCTCTAACATATTTGACCCCTGAGACCTTGAATATAAGTCGAGGTCATTCATTCGAACAACCTTGGTAGCCATTCATCCTGGCATGTTACTGGCCAAATAGCATCATCCTAGGCCTTTTTGTTATTGAGAAGAAATTGTTTAAAGGTTTTTAACATATTTAACCCCTGTGACCTTGAAAATAGGTGAAGGTCATTTATTTGAACAAACTTGGTGTACCTTCATCCCACCATGCTACTTGCCAAATATCATTATCCCAAGCCTCTTGGTTATTCAGAAGAAGTTGTCTAAAGTTTTTAACATATATGACCCCTGTGACCTTGAATGATCAAGGTCATTGATTTGAACAAACTTGATAGCCCTTTATCCCAGCATGCTACTGGCCAAATATCATTATCCTAAGCCTCTTGGTTATTCAGAAGAAGTTGTTGAAAGGTTTTAAACATATTTGACCCTTTTGACCTTGAAAATAAGTCAAGGTCATTCACTCGAACAAACTTGGTAGCTATTCTTCACAGCATGCTACTGGCCAAATATCATTAGCCTAGGCCTCTTAGTTATTCAGAAGAAGTTGTATAAAAAAAATTAAGACAATTGACCCCTCTGACCTTGAAAATGGACGAAGGTTATTCATTTGAACAAACTTGGTAGCCCTTCATCCCAGCATGTTTCTAGCCAAAAATCATCACTCTGAGCATTTTGGTTATTCAGAAGAAGTTGTTTAAAGTTTTTAACATATATGACCCCTGTGACCTTGAAAATAGGTGAAGGTCATTTATTTGAACAAACTTGGTAGCTCTTTATCCTAGTTTGCTTCTGGCCAAATTTCATCACCCTAGGCCTTTTGGTTATTTAGAAGAAGTTGTTTAAAGTAAAATATTGACACCGGACGACGGACGACAGACGCTGCACCATCGCATAAGCTCACTTGGCCCTTCGGGCTTTTATACATATAACTTGAAAGAATTTTTTTTTTATATATATATATATAAGAATGTTAGAATGTATAATTATGTTCCAAAAAACATTAAGGGTAAGTCAAATATTATATTAATGAAAATCTTTTTGATTGCGATATAAAGTTTGATACATGAGATAAGATATCTCTATTTTGTCAGTTTGTATATCATTACAACTATTACAACCATTTAGTAGGACATTTATACACAGATGATTGTGAGTGTAATGATAGCATAGATGTACAGTAACAGCACACTTAAAGACATTCGATTCGTAAACAAAACAATAGATAGAAACACATATATACACAGTGGGGGATCCAGAGACCTATCTGGGGGGGTTTCCAAATTTCCTGGGGGGGGTTTCTATGTAGGGAAAAATTGCGGAAAATGGTGAAAATACATGATTTTTAAAGAAAATTCTCAGGGTGGGGGGGTCCTGAAGCCCCAAAAAAACCTCTGGATCCGCCACTGATACATACAATATACAATGACATAATTACGTATAGACGACTCAGCCATTCAACATGGAGTCGTACACGGTACGTGTGTATTGTTATCTTAGCACCCGATAACGGTGCGACAAATCACCGAAACGGACCGAATCGGACCGAAACGGAACCGAAACTAAACCGAAACGGAGTCGAAATGGAAACCATAAGTTATTTAAAGGGAATTCAATACAGTTTAGATTGTGTGTGAACAAAACGGACCCCGATCGGAACCGAAACGAAATTGTAAATGTGTTTTTCGGTAAATTTGAGCTGTGTTTCATTATTTGTCGTGTAGGCCTATATATTATATATTATATCAACATTTTCAACATAATTGTGTTCTATTTGTGTACCGATTTGTTAGAAATGGGTTAGTCTTCTTTTCCCTCCTTTTTCTTCTTTTAATTTTGTCTGGAGAATGTGAAATTATGGCACATTTAAATATCATACATTATTCAATTATGTAACACAACATAAATTGACATCAATGGCTAAATGTAAAACCGATATTAATGACATAATTAATTTACAATACTAGTGTCCATCCTGTTCCACCATGTATTATTGTCACCCATATTTGTATATATGTATTCTCTACACTGTATTGTTTATGAGAACAAAACAATTGTCATGACGGGACCGAAACGAAAGGCATACGATTATTCCAAGCGAATTGAATTCATTTGAAAACAGAAAATACTTTTGAATATGTGACCGTTTAAAACAAACAGAACCAGAACTGAACTGAAAAGAAACGTATTTAAGGGTATTAAATATACATTTCATCAGTCTTTGTGACCGAAACGGACGTAAACGGAACCTTAACGTAACAAAAAAGAAATATCTGAAGTTATTTAACGCGAAGTAAACCCAAGAGAATAATGTGTTTGACCGTGTATAACGAACAGAAAAAAATATATGCAGTTATTGTAAAGGATATTCAATATACATTTGAACACTGCGTTTAGCCAAAACGGACAAAAACAAAACAAAAAGAAAAGAAACACCAAGTTTCTTTTTTTTAATGGTATCAAATACATTTGAATACGGTAAGTGACCGAAACGGACCAAAACGGCACCAAGAAGAAATACATTTTGTTATTTAAAGCGAATTTTACACGGATATAACATTGTAAGCATATACTTGTTATGAACTTTCATGAACACGCAACATATGTATTATGAACGTGTATTGAGTACCAAGGTGAAGTAGGAATATGTGATAAATATTAAACCATGATAAATACATTAACCTATGAATTTACACACATGTACTGTAGTTATACAAGCTGATTTCAAAGTTTACTACACCAGCAATATTTAGTTTGGTTGCAGGTCAAGTATGAGTTGTCTCACACATATACATGCATTGTATATGTTTGATTTGGTCACATATATAAAGAAATGGTACAATATACATGTATATTTAGGTCAAGTTATGATAATAATAAAAGTAGTATGCATTTAGTAGGTAAATATATTAGTTCAATTTAATTACATGAAATTAGTTCAATTTAATTAAAAGTAATACAAGTTACAAATTAAGTACAAGGTATACATGGACTTCAGTACTACAGCTGTGACTAGTTGCATTTATATACTTGTGAAATGCACATGTTCTTCACACACAAAAACAGTACTGGAGTGGGCCAGTATGCATGTACAAGTATGTTATCGCGGTTTCTGGCCCTCGGGGATCTGTATGTTGGTAGGATTTCTCACTCTTGCACGAGTACCTGTGGCTTGTGCACCAGGGATCCAGTCAGTAGCTGTTCGTATTCCAGATATTTTGGGAGGTGGGTCGGGATATCCAGTAAATTCATCAAAACGTGTGATTTGTGACTTTTCGCCGCTAGAACTACGTATAAGATACGTCCGTCCTTGGTCCAGGTCCCAGATATAAGTTTTTGAGATTTTAGATATCTAGCCTTGAAATATACTAGACTTCTAGCTTTAGTCAGTGCCTCATTGATATAGAGATTAGGCGAAGTGGGAGTGGTGTGCTTTGGGCTGGAGGATGCATTTCCGGAATGGTCCGAGTTGGTTACAGACTCGACTTTATTGTTTAAGAGGAGAAATCTGGCATCATACACTGCCGCGCTAGTTTAATATGAGATAAATCTGACGATAATGTCTATTGGAAAGTTTTTGATATGAGGCCCAACACGATGGGTACGGCTGATGTCGTCCTGTGTGATCATAAGACCCCCCCAGGTAATTGTTGAACGCATTGATAATAAGTTGATCGGTGTCTTCGCCCTGTGATTCAGGAATTCCCCTAAATTTTAAGCAGTTCCGTCTAGAATATTGCTCAAGGTCATCAATTTTATTTTCCAATGACTCTATTTTGTGGTGCATGGCAGTGATACCTAGCGTGTTCAATAAAGCGTCTTTGAACATGGCGCTATCTATTAACTGGGACACCACTTCCTTGACTATCACAGGGTCTCGGAGTTCACTGATGGCCTGGACGCCTTTCTCAACTTTACCCGATAGTTCCACAGACATCTTGAGGTATACACAATACTGTATATATCATATAAATATAAATGGTGAAGCTAGGTTAATGTAGTTGGTCTACACGGAAAGTTCAATGGAAACAAAGGACACCGCGGGAAAACTGACCATTGTCCACTTCACTTTTATAAATACTCAGTACGACGTGGATACACAATATTTTGAACGGATTGCATGTTATACAAGGGAGAGTTACTTATCTGTCATTTTTGAATGATTTTGCAATCACACACAGTCCATTAATCCATGAAGAATAGCTTTATTTCCGCTGCCACTACACGTCGACCATATTTGCTTGACCACCGGAAGTCTAAGCGTACTTGTGTTAGAGCACTCAAATTTTAGCGGAATGAACATCCTATGACTTATAAGAGCACTCTTAAATTAGTGAAAATGCAGTATCTAAACTCATTAGTTAGCGCAAATGTTGTGTATAGCGGGTGACCGGGATCAAAACCTATATATTTGTGAGTCTGGTATATCGGACGACAACCTGCAAAAATATCATTCACGTTGTATGCAAGTGATTTGTTGTCATTTACTATCCTTTGATATGCTGTATTTTATGGTATGGATAGCGTGTGCTTAATTATGGTCTTATTGCGTCGCGCGAAAGCTGCTAAAATTAAAATACTGCTAAAACCAGTACACTCACAGTAATATATATTCGTGAACTTGTATTTTCGGTTCTCTGTAGATCGAAGGGATAGTGTTGTATTATTAAGTTTATCAGTGAAATGCAGTAAATTGTTCTATTGTGGTATGAAATATTAGAACATCACTATAATATTATAAAAAATATATTCCATATTTCAGTATTCCTTGTAAAATGCGTTTAAGAATATGTTATCCAGTCTGGAGTATTTAACTTCAGGTATAGTGTATTGATATATGTCCGAGTTATTGAACGTGAGTACATTTGTTTTCTTCCACAACTTCTATAGGTTTCGTCTTTCCTGACTCATTATAGTTGGATGGTTAACATTTTTGGTTAACCACACTAGTGGGTAACATTCTGAACACGTGATTTTATTGCTAAATCTTTGGATAATGACATCAAGAAACCAAGCTTTGCGACGTCATCTTCCTTTGTGACGTCATAGTTCTTGGCAACTGTTACCCCAATCGGAAACAGGAATACGGTATTCCAAAGAGCAACATATGGTTTTCTAGATATACTATCATTACTTTACGGGAGAAAAAGGTTCCCCAACTCGTGATGGTTGACTACCATGTTTATCTAAATCTCAGTTGTTAATTTTTCAAATTGTGGAAGACACATGGTAAACCTCGTTTCTTTATACAATTTGGAAATTAAGTTACGAGAATTAGAATATGATAATCAACCAACCTCTCTCTCTATATATATACATATAATTTGTTGAATGATATCTTAGATACATATATGGATATAAATCTGGGTTATTGAACGTGAGTAATTTTGTTATAAAGATACAACTTGTTGGATAGATAATTTAAGGTATATTATATGGATAGATATCTGGGTTATCGAATGTGAGTGATTTTGTTATAAATATATAATTTGTTTGATAGATACTTTAAAGTATATTGTAATAGACGTCTCGGTTACTAAATTTGTATGTTTTTATTTTCAATATGTAAATATACCTGTTTATTGCCTTTTTACTTATTTCCGAACTAACAGAGAGTGTATGTAAATCTTTGATGCCTGCTATATGATGTTTCAATTATCAACTACTATAATGTGAAATTAACCATTACTCCTTTAATTTTGAAATACATATAATTAAGGAGTTTATGAACCTCACTTTCTGTTTCAACATTAGATTAGACCACTTTTAATTTCCACCTCTTTTTGGCCCCTAGATTCAACGATAAGCCCCGGAAGGACGAAACAGCTGTATGATGCAGTGTCATATACTTTTGCTAATGTATTAATTATCCGAATTTTAATAGGTGAAAACACATGTGTGTGTCTTACATTCATATAATTAGTTCACATACATGTATAAATAGCTTTCTACATAATGTGACTCATAATGATACCTCTAAACGCTATTTTTATTAAACTTAATTATGTCTAACGAAGGTTGATATCTGCATGGATACGATTTATTCCGTTAAACCACAAGAAGTTATTTCCCTTGTTCCAGTAATTCTGATGTAGAGAATTTTCGAATAATATGAGCTTTCCCTACCTCGAGAGAAACAAAATCTCACTCCGAGGAGCTGTTTCGGCTCAGGGTTAGACAGTCAAGATTCTCCCCCCTTCTCTTTTCATCAACATCACCGATAACAAATATTTTTTTTTTAAGTATGGTCCTATTTTTCTCGCTATTTATGTTTTATTTTTCAAAGAATAAATCTTTGTTTTACTCACAACTTTCCTTAGTTTTATAGATTCCGTATTTTTGCTAATTTTAGAATTTTGTTGCAAATATTTTATTGATTTCATACAGATGCCTTAATCCCGTAGTAGGAATACAAATAATTAGCTATGGCTTTACATTAAAGCCTACATACATCTGTTATGGACTGGCCTACATTCTGATTGCTTTGAGACTCAATTTTCCAAAGTGACGTAGTTAGTTTTTTCATTATTAAGGGCCTATCAACACAAAATAGGTCATTAGAGCCAATATAAAATAAAATGAACCTGTTAAAGAAAATTACATCAAAAGAACGTAAAGGTGACTATGGTAAGTTATGTCTTTTTGAACAGACCAATAGCTTTTAGACAGGTTATAATCGTAGAGATATTAACTGTTTCGAAAAGAGATTTGAGATCTTTATTGTTATTATATCTATTTTTTATCTGGTTGGCTGAATGTCATTGCAATCTAGTAACAAGTGTTTTACTGTGAATGGTTAAGTGGCCCTGGACTGTTTGTGAACATTAAAGCGTGGTAGCAAGGAAAAAACTGTACGAACAAAATATCTTTTGTGTGTTATTTATTGATAACGTCATCGATAACACATCAAGATAAATCCCATGGCCAATCTGTGTACACCTTACAAGTAAATACCACGGGTGCATTGCCTTGTGCTGAGACAACCGGACGTTTGTCTTCTGTTTCCCATAACTCCCCGACAGCCTCGTCAATGGTCACTCCGTACATTAATGGGGTAGAAGACGTGATCTGGAAAGTTCCTGAACATGACTTATACTCACCATTAACTAGACATTTGGGTTTACAAGCGTGACCACAAGAGTCAAAAGCAGTCATATAGAATTTTGCTGCGCTATGTTTGGGGTTTTTGACTCCAACGTAAGTCATGGAAGAGGAGATAGACCGTCTCTCATCCACTACAGCATAATCCTTGTATCTGCCGGAATAGTCAATACCGTCGGTCTGGACGTAAACCTTTGAGGCTCCGGAACCGGATATATGACACTTAGGAGATGAAGCTGGGATATTTTGTGGAACTGACTTTATAATGTTACTTTCTTGTATATGACTTACATTAACTAGATTGGACGAAAACCTCTGTCTTGATCCATCCAGTCTGGTTGAAGATTCAGAGGGTTTCTCGTAAATAACCCTCACAGGTATATAAACCCAAAGATTAGCATCACTGACACCATTCAAAACATATGTATTTAGGTATTGTTTATTGATCTGTGGATCTTCCACGCGACTCTTGGTTCCCATATTGTCAGTTTGGCGTATCTCTTTGTTCACATTTGAATCTTTCCCAAAACTTCGCCTTCTCCTCGAAGGCAGCGGTGCATTTGGAATAGTATCCCCTCTTGTTCGTGGATCTCGGCTGAAAACTCTAAAGCGTGAACCTATCGGAAGTGATCCGATCTCTTGCACGAGTGACTGTGTCCTGAGTTGGCCAACAGCGGCAGTTCCTCCGACAAATGCACTGGCTGCAGCAGCTCCAAATGGGGCAACCATAGTCGGTGATACTTCTGCTGCAGAAAGGGAGCGACATCTTCCAATAGTCTGATTACAAACCAAGTAGGGACTGTTACTGCAATCAGGGCAACTCGGCGACGGAGCATATATTGTACGGGACTCAAAGAAGTTATTGTACCCTTGGATGTTTCGCAAATTATTGAAAGGTATCATTTGTGCGTTCGGAGCATGCAAAACATTTCCTTTAAGGGGGTAGTCGAATTGCGGATCTATTCCTGGGTACTCAACACGCAGCGAGTTCCTGAACAGATACCAAATGTAGTCAACAAAAGCGTGATGCATGAAGAAAACGGGCTCCTGTGGGGCGGTGGCTAACGCTGACAGCTGTCCGTCAACCCACACGTGCGGCCCGTCGTGCACTCGTTCTATGCTTAGTCTTGGGATTGGTTCCACGACTTCGTAGTGACTGCCCTGAGCGAGAATACCTTGGACTTGTTCATCAGTAATCAGGGATCCGTCGTTCCCAATGTTTCTGATAAGATTGATCCCCTGTGGAGTGATCCATCCAGCAAAAGGTCCGTTGTCCACAACTCCAAAACCTTGTCCGAAAAACTCCGGTGTCCAGAGAATTGAATCTGTTGGTTCCGTCATGTCATAGTCCAGTCGACTATCCCAATACGGTATCGGTACACCGAGAGCCTCTTCAAGTCTATAATAGCAATACGAAGCTTTTTTAAGACTGGTTTACACATTGCTATATAGATAATTAAGATAACGAACGTCAAATAAACACTTTAGCTACGTGCATAAAATAAACATATGTTGTTTAATAATTGTTCTTGGTAGAGGGACAAACCAATCAGATACCAATGAGCCGTTTTTAGCAATGTTTAGTTGATATAAAAAAAAAAGGAACATTATTATTTATTTTTTTATGAAAAACGAATTTCAGTATTGAAGGGCTTAGAACCACATGGCCCCTTACAGGATCTTACATGAAGAGAAAAAGTATAGGAACTTAGACTGGGCCGAGTCCTTAGCACACAGCTGAGTAATGCTAGTACGAATCAGTGCTCAATATACGGTTTTGAGGAAAACATAAAAATTAAATTTACATTAGTTTTACAGTAAAAGAAAACAATCGAGAATACTAGGAAACAGCACAACAGATAATGAGATAGAAAGTATTGAGCCCACAAGAAACAGCTTTGTAGAAGAGGGGCTCATCACACAGAGGATGAGTACATACAGGAGGAGGTAAACCCGATGCCAGCCAAGAAAGTTGGGTCCAATGTGTGCTGCTAGTAGAATTAACGGCGGCATGTGAATGTCGGATATAGCGTCGTATGGTACAAACTGCCCACCATTCGGCAACGCCTGGAGATACAAACAGCACATTAATTCACAAAAGAGCAAAACTGGAAATCTGGAACGAAATGGCGATACGAAAGTGCGTCCTAGGAGGCATCAAAACATAGACTTCACAAGGCAAAGGATACTTACAAGTTCATTAAGTATCATTGTCACTACAGTGAAATATCTGTTTAAGTCCTTTTCAAAAGAAATAATCCTCGAAAATCATGTTGCCATGCATTATAAACTGTAGTTATTTGAAATATTAGAATGTTTGGCAAATATAAATATGAACTAAACAAGAAAACTTCAGGTGACGAACTCGATGAAAATCCTATTTTTTACCTATGTTGTCAAACAGGATTTATAAAAAGCACGGTATGTCGAATTCATCGGCCGCAAATTATAGAGGAAAAATGACAGGAATAGTAATTTTAAGCCATAGAAAAAAATCTTTTGGCTGCTTCATCTTCTAGCGCGAAAAAAATATTTTCCCCCCCATTTTCTAACTGATGCATTGGTATCCTCTACCTTAAGCACCTTTCATGGTGTCTCCAAATAATTTCAGTAAAGTGATATTAGACATCTTTCTGTTTTTTTGGATTGTTTCATATCAATGCTTGGTTGTTGCTAGCACTAATGGGATCAAACACTCCAGGGTTGTTTTATATAGACTTGTGTTTAAAACAACCCTCAAAATGCATAAATGATAACGTTTTTCTATCGTTAAAAGGAAAACGACTTCACATGAGTAATAGGTACATTAGTTAAAAAAACAATAACGTAAGTTAATTGAATATATTGTACCAGGACAAGAGCGGGTTTACATGATTGGATGCCCGTGTAGGTTCAAGGAATAATCGGCCTGCTGCATCTCAAAGCGTATGAACGGTATCTTTCTTTTATTCTGTTAATGGGACATTAAATAATCGAAGAATATACCTGCAGTATCTCACTGCATATGTATCGTAAGATGCAACTAATGGTTGGCCCCCTGCAGAATAGGAGTTTTTTTCGTATTTCCTACTAAGAGGGCATTGAAGAGACCATAATTGATCTGCTGTGGCCAACAACACTTGATATCTTTTTCGTTTTCTATCTCTGTCTTCTTTCTTTTCTATCTACTTTCTATTTCAGGCGATGTTTCCCTAGGTACCGTCCTCATATGACTGTTGCGAGGACGTTTAATCCCAAACAAAAAAATACACAAATGGACAGGGATCAGACAAGGTGTAAAGCAAGTCCATCAACTATTTTCCTCACTTTTTTTACTAGAATTTCACTATAGACAAGCAAAAAGTCTATGTTTGTATACGTCAGAATTGAAATAGCATTAAATGATACAGATATGTTATGTGGCCAGTTGACAACTTATGTCATTCAGGATGAATGATGCTGAAATGAATTTTATCTTCAAACATTGATACAAGACAATCAGCTTTTAAATACTTTCAGATAGAATTCTACACAAAATGTCAAGCTCTTGAGTGTGGAAAATGGGCATATCATTTCATTCTCGAAGATCATTTTATCTCATCATATGAACACTTTAAACAGTATATTTTCAATCTCAATATGAATTACGTTCAGTTCAAGGATAGAAAAAAACATGTGGAAAGTTTCAAATTCCGAAGAAAACATGGAAATATTGTATTAAGACAAGAGCAAACTTACCACAGGTCTTTTGAGGACATTGAGCCGGAATGTGAACGTGTTCCACTCCTCTCGTGTAAGGGTGCGAACCTCTTTCCTCTCTCGGACATACCTCTTGGATCTTCCTCCGACACTTAACCGTCCCATGACCTTCCGAACGAGTTCTTGAGCATATAAGATGGAGGTGTTTGATATTTCCCTTTGGGGACGGAGCAGAACGGTTTGTGAGAGGAAGTCTGTGATGCAGAAATTGTTTAGGCTCTGTGACGTCATTTCAGAAACGCTGATATTCTGGGTCCTATACCTGTAGAAATACAAACAAAACTTAAGATATCAGTTGTTTTTAATAGTCCGAATTATTCTGACGCTTTGTCGACTTTTTTTATATCGGTCTGGCGTCGATTAACGACGTTTATCGACGCCAGACCGATATGAAACAAAGTCGATAAAACGTCAGAATAATTCGGACTTTTGTTTTTCTCAGCCAAACGTTCAGCGTTTAGGAAAATCACAATTGATTTACCCGTTGTCAGTATAATGTAACCAGGTGGAATACTGTGCTGGGTGACTTCGGCATAATGTTTCGGTGAGGTATCACTCTAAGTACGACAGAGGATCTCTGCTATGAATGCAAAGACACCAACATACCCTGCCTCCAGGTGACATACACACAAATTTGAAATGATGCATATATTAACATTTTCGTTACAAATATCTCAGATACTTTGTCCTTATTTGAAGCGAATTTGATTTTCCTGGTATTATCTATGAAGTGAAATGGGCAGTTTGTTTTATTGATCATGATCCTAGTGAGACACCGCCTACAAGAATGTGTTGGGAAGTGAGGTAAAAGGAATAGATTCAAATAGTTGTGTTTTTGCCAGCAGATCAAATTTGGTTTCTTCGGTGTCCTTTTTAGAGGAAACCCGATCATGCAAGGGTTCCTCGTTAGTCGCCTTTTCTAGTGTCCTTTAAAGTAAAAGACACCACAGAGGAAACTGCGATCCTTCAGGGGTTTCGCATTAGTCGCCTCTTTCAGTGTCCTTTAAGATAAAAGACACAACAGAACAACCGCGGTCCCGCAGGGGTTCCGCATTAGTCACTTCGTACAATACACATGCAAGAGGATACACAGAAATGACTTTTTCCCCCTTACATGCACAGGTCGACAGATACGTCATTTCATGAACTCCCCTCAAAAAAACCCAATTCAAACAATTGATAATGAATTACCTGTAACACTCCCGGAGGATGTCCGGCATCGCCAATGGTTCCAGTAGGCTATAAACTACAGGTGGACACGTGGCAATAAAGGAGAACAGCAGGAAAACGTGCGTGAGGTGGCGGTGATCCTAGCATTAATTGAAAAACCATGCAATTAATGGATGTTACATCCGTTATTTCTTCACGAGCCCATCGGCTTATGTAAGACACAACGCTACGGGCTTTCCTCATCGATGACATCTATGCGGTTGTTTAATAAGTGGTTGTCCGTCCATATTAAATATATACCAAAATTAAATTAATATCAGAGAAATTTGTCAACAAAACTTTTGATACTGCTTTACTATTTTATGTAAATTGAAATATATATTACACCGCTTATAATTGTAACGGGGACCGTTACAGAATTCCCACAAACTGTCCTTTTAGTCACAAATGACGCACTGGAAAGATTTAGCATTGTCATAATACCCTTACATGCTAAAGTGGAGCAAAATCAGAAAAGGAGAGGGACCATTGGCATCACCTTTGCGTACACCCTAAATGTACCAATAAATCAATATATCGGCCACGACGGCCATGTTTGACGACCAATCGGAAGGTGAAAGGCTTTACGTACATCTACTCATGTCAACCAATGCACATGTGAAGTTTTGGGAAATATTCGGCTTGTGGTCTCTGAGAAAAACTGCGGAAACCATTAAGCGCATGAAAAATGGAAGAAGAAAAGAAGAATGATGATAACAAGGAACACAGCAAGATCAATAAGTGCTCCACTTGAATTAGGAGACATAACAGCACGTCTTACATAGTATAGTTATATTGATATGCATTGTTATGCATTTGTAGGTTGTATAGGTAATAACGGTAGTATAGTCCTAAATGGGCACTCGATCCGAACAAAAAAAAAATTCTGTGTATTTATTACTAAAATAGTTACATGTATATAAACAAGGTAATAGCGACAGTGCGGACAAGGAAATCTGTCAGAATTTTCCAGACAGGACAAAGAAATCAGTAAGATTTTCCAGACAATCCGCCCCTTATCAAGATGCAAATATGAAACGATAGCATAACAAAAAATACAACGATGCGAAAAAACAGTTAACATGAAACAATCACAAAACATAAAACATAAGACAAACAATAACAATCACTATTGAATTTGTTTGTTGATGTGACATATCGCTTCGGTCAGCCGAGAGTCGAATTACATTTATTTACTTGTATATTTGTATAAAAATGATATTATATATTTTTTTGTACGCTAATAGCCGCGCTATGAGGTTCCCTATGGAACATACATTGGAGCTAGGAGTGGGACCTAGACTTCCCTATGGAACATACATTTGAGCTTGGAGTGGGACCTAGACTTCCCTACAGTACATACATTGGATCTAGGAGTGGGACCTAGACTTCCCTTAGAACATACATTGGAGCTTGGAGTGGGACCTAGACTTCCCTATAGTACATACATTGGAGCTAGGAGTGGGACCTAGACTTCCCTACAGTACATACATTGGATCTAGGAGTAGGACCTATACTTCCCTATGGAACATATATTGGAGCTAGGCGTGGGACCTAAACTTCCCTATGGTACGTACATTGGAGCTTGGAGTGGGACCTAGACTTCCCTATAGTACATAAATTTGAGCTTGGAGTGGGACCTAGACCTCCCTATGGTACATACATTGGATCTAGGAGTGGGACCTTTACTTCCCTATGGAACATACATTGGAGCTAGGAGTGGGACCTAGACTTCCCTATGGTACATACATTGGAACCTAGGAGTGGGACCTAGACTTCCCTATGGTACATACACTGGAGCTAGGAGTGGGACTCTTAAGCCCCCTGCAGTATACACATTGGACGCTAGGAGTGGGACCTGGAGTCCCCTATGGTACATACATTGGACGCTTAAATCGGGACTTAAGAATCCGTTATGGTATATACCTTGTACGCAAATAATGGGACCTAATCTCCCCTTAAGTATATACACTGGACGCTAGGAGTGTGACCCGGAGTCCCTAATGGTACATAAAATGGACGCTAAAAGTTGAACTTTAGAAATCCTTATAGAACATACAATGGAAGCTAGGAGTTGGACCTATAATCTCCTATAGAACAAACATTGGACGCTAGAAGTGGGACTTAAGAATCCCTTATGGTAAATACATTAGACCTAACGTCTCCATTGATGCATAAATTGTATGTTAATTGTGGGACATAGAGCCCTTATGGTTTGAACATTTGACGCTAGGATTCTGACTTTAAGTCCCTATTGATGCATAAATTGTATGTAAACTGTGGGACATAGCGTCCCTTATGGTTTGAACATTTGACGCTAAATGTCGGACCTAGAGTCGCCTACAATTTTACAATATATAAATATAATGTAAAAACCGAGTTGTTCAATTTCTTTTTTTATATAATATAGAATGTTTCGTGATTTCACAATACACTTAATTCAGTTTGTTTAAACAAAAAGGTTGCACTTAATAAAAATTCGTACTCACCATTTTGCTGACATGAGCCATGTGCTACGGCAAATGTGTTTCTTCATACACTGATTCTCTTCAGTCGTGTCCTCAGAGTTCTGGAATAGATCAAACAATTTAAGATTGTTTCCGTTGCTTTCATGATACTTTTCCCTGTCATCTGATTATGCCGGCACGTTACTGTCGGTCACTGCATGTGAAGGTTACGCATTTCAGAAATAAGGTATGACACGTCATCATGAGTATGACCCCGATTGACCTCAGATGAAACAAAACATGAATTTTCAAATGTGATTTTAGAGATAAACATTTCTTCTACAAAACCGCGTAACGATTTCGTGCGACACCAGGGCAGGCATAATGGTTTATTCATGTTCAGTTAGTACGTGTCTACGGACTAATTACGTTTTCTATTCAAGTAATTTTAATTGCCAAACTGTTAAACTGTTTGATCTTAACTAGTTTCTGTTGTAACGAAAATTCTTTATCTTTAAATCATCGACTACATGGGCTACTACATAACTTCATGATTAAAAAAATATCTGGAAAAAAAAATCATTTTTTTTACCGTAAATTATATATGTTTCATGAGAGACATTTTTGTTTAAATTAGACAGAAACGTCAATGGCAAAATAAAATACCTTATGAATTTCTACTTTTGTCTTCAACAAATTCAATTAATAATTATGTATTTTGTCAAACCCAATTATCACAAATAAGTCAAGTGAACTTTGACCTAAGAATAATTTAATGTTCTTAATAACACAATGATTTTAAAATTTCTGTTCAGAGGCTTGATCAGTAATATTTTGACTTAATTTGGCAAATTAAAAATAGTCCGTCGGATAGGACTATAGATGGTGGCCCGTGTTGGAACTGTCCAACCTTGCACGATAAAGATTCCTCTGAGGAAGAGAAGGCGTGATAACGCCGACCCCAGGGGTTATAGCTGGGTTTAGTTTGGCCTTTAGAATTAGACTCTCTTTAATAGACATTTACACGGACTTCAAAAATATATAGACTTAACAAAATGTAGTAGATTAGTCTGGAGCTGGTGTGCTTGGGTATGGCTTCGTATCCCTCCTCTGGTCGGGGCGTGGCGCTGCTTCGCGACTAGAGTCCGGACAAACAGAATTACATACCGCAGACTCACAAAACACACACGCATACACTACACACATGCATCTTTCATACAGGAAAGGCCGTCCTTAAATGACCATAGCTGTTGATAGGACGTTACACAATACTAATCCAAACCAAACTAGGATATGGCAAATATTAGCCTTAGGAGTCGTCACACGCAGAATAGCATGATAAATTAGTACATATAGGATAGACGGCTCATTCTCTCCTCTAACATACTTTTTTTTATCTATTCGCTACTTATTTTACCCATTCTACTCATGTGCCTATCTTTTCTTCGTCTGTTCGATAAACCGATCTATTCGATAGAGAAGCGGACGTGAAACCACTCAAAAAAAACAACAAATTAAATCATTTCAAACACACAACAAGAAAAAATAGCTGCACTTTTAAAATTACTCCCCGTTACAAATTATAATAATATCTTTTTCATTTCAATAGGTTAAGCAACTATATCCCAAATTCAAGGGACTGTAATAAGTTAAACATATCACTAAACGATTTTGTTGTAAAATATTGAAAATATTTAAAAAAAAAATACTTATAGAATAAACATTTGTGTAAAACCTAAAATTAATTGAGGCTGAAAGAATTGTTCATTTCTTGACAAATGTGCTGACTTCCATTTCTTTATTGTTAAATTTCCTCTCTTCTCCAGTGAAATACGAGCTATTATTGCTAGTGAACTCTACATTAAACGGTCGATTCCCTGCTGTTTAAAGTATTAAAATTTTCTGGATATCTATTTATCCCGTTGAAGGAGGCACTAAGCAGCTAGTTTTTTTTTTTTTTATCGAAGTAGCTGAAAACTACATTGCAAAAAGTCTGTGTTTATAGGTTGATTTTGGAATAAGTATTTAACATAAGTTCACGATGTCTTCCCTTTTGTTTTGGTGTCTCCTCGGTTCCTGGTGTTTGAAGTTTGATTATTTCCTCAGAGTGTTGGTGTTTGTGCTGGTCATTGCATTATACTCATGCTTTTTTTCATGGAAATGCTGTCATACGTTGTACTTAAAAAAATCAAACAAGCACTAAAAAAATACTAAGGAGGATAGAAGGAAGAAGTACGATTTATTTGAGTCTTATATCTTATTATATATGTTATAATTTTGTATCTTAATTTCTGAAAATTCATACAATGGTGTTTGATACACATCCTGTTATGTTCCAACAGTAATTTAGACCAATCTGGATTTCAACCGTTTTCGTTTCTAGCATCACTGAGTATCGCAGATGGGTTGTAATAAAACAAATCAGATGTATTGCGCAGTGTTATATATTTTGGCACACTTTATCAATTACCCAATGTTATAGCTGCAGTTATCACGTTTGTGTGTCTTACGTCAATTTTATTTAATGCACTTCCTGTTATAAAGCTTAACACTATATGACAAACACTTGTTTTGCGTTCAGAAGTGTGTTTAAATAAACTGCTTTTACTAAACACAGCTAAAACACGACAGGAAATTAATTAAAACTGTTAATCATGTATAAATATGACGCTTTTTACAAAAATGATAAATGTATGCAACCCTCGTGTTGACAGTCTGTATACACTTTTTCATGTACAGGATGTAATGAAGGCGACCCATTCAGCTGGCGATACTGACATTCACGTTTTTGACAATTATTAAATTAGTGTCTGCACATTAAAATAACTGGAAAAACAAAAGAAGGAGGCACTAAAGACAAGAAAAAAACCCGAATTGGGTTTGTCGATACAGAAAGCCTAACAAAGTAAGCATTTTTCTGCAGCATATATGGGCATTAAAGAAGACGAAGGAACACCGGAAGTAGAACGTCTTGGTGCCATTAATACGAACAGGACGCCAAATACCGTCGTGACCGAAGGGCTGAGGCTTTGAGTCATGTCACGGCACTGTGTTGTATCTTTGAACAAGACACTTTACTCCGCTTGTTCCAGTCTACTCAGCTGTAACGTGGTTGGGCAGTGTTAGATTGAATGCTAGCTGTGAGCGCCGAAATGGCAGCACCGGCTGTATGCTCCTCGGAGAGTTGATTAAGATATTGGCTGGTTGCAAAGACCCTATAACCACGGATAAAAATGTGCGAACCGCTTTGAGACGATCTACTACTCGTAACTAGGTTGTGATAAAGCGGTATATATGAGCCTCGAATTATTATTATTATTATTATAAAACAAAATGCTATCCCTCATAGCGTTAATTTTAAACCGTTAAATATATCTTGATCAAACTTGAAGTATACATGTATCTTCCGAAGAAGGTGTGCAGTGCACTAGAATTAGGTGTCGTGCTTCACTAAATACAGAGTTATGGCCCTTTGTTGAATTTTGATACCGAAGTTTGTCCGGAACATAAGTTCCATGTTATTTTACCTACGTTGTCCAAACTTACCATATTTATGCAACTTAGGAAGGCGGAATTTCTCTCACTAAAATCAGGTTTGGTGCCCCACGATAAACAGAGTTATGGCCCTTTGCTCTTTTTTTTTTTTTTTTTTTTTAAACCATTAAAGATATCTTAATCAAACTTGAAGTATACATGCATCATCCACAGAAGGTGTGCAGTGCATTGGAGCGATGTCTCGTGCCCCACTATTTAAAGAGTTATGTCCCTTTGTTTATTTTTAATACCGAATATTTTCACGGCATAACTTCCATGTTATTTCACCTACGTTGACCAAACTTGCTATAGCTTTAATGTATCTTGGGAAGTAGGAGTGTTGCATTCTAAATTCGGGTCTTGTGCCCCACTATATAAAGAGATATGGCCCTTTGTTATTTTTTTATACCGAAGTTCGTCTATTGGCTAATAAGGGGAGACATATGTTTTTATTCACAAAAACAAAATTCTAGTTTTATATGCAAAACAAAGAAGTTTATTTCTTTAGTCGTTTCCATTTGGAATGGACATATATATATATATAATTAATCTTCTTATCCTGTTAAGCATTGTACATCCGGAAGTTGATTGCATTTTAACGACTGAAAGGGACATCGTAGATAACTAATTAGTATATAATACATTTGTTTTAGAAAAAAAATCCGCTTCCTTAAATGTCTTCCTTCACGCTGTTAAACATGTTACAAAAGTGAACAAATATTACATGTTTCTGACATAAACGTGTCCATTTTCGTTTTATTGCACACTTGAGTGGCTGTTAAGAATATGACTCAACAAGTTTAGACTCCAGTCGCTCTTTGTCTCCTTTGGCGACATTAAGGTAAGTAGTATCATATAAGAAATTTATATGGTCGATAACCACATATATTTATTCTGCCATCGTTATCTATTCAACATAATATAATTTCAAATGATGTGTGCTGTGTTCTTTAAAAAAAATTGTCATGTACGTATATGCATGTTAGATAAGGTTTGAACGATATGTTTTGAATTTCATGCCAGTATGAACGCAAATCGGTTACATGCATATTCCATGAAACCCGTTATGCGTTCATAACGGCATGAAATTCCCCGTACCACTGCCAAAAAATGTAACTATAAACCGGAAGTTGTGCTACCTGCATGACTATAGATATAATACATAATTTCTAAAAAGAACGAAGATGAAATATATGCAAAAGCTTATGAACAAAAGTGTCCTGAGATTCGAAATGCAATGTTGCTGGACCAGGATTCGAACCCTGGACCTCTAATATTTAACAAATTGAGCTACTTCTTTAGTTCCATGGCCCTATCCCACTGCAGTGATATCGAAAACATTCACGGGAGGTATCTGTACTGTAACTGTGTAAAAACCTACTATGGAAATATCTGGTGTATAGCCTACAGTGTGACAGCGATACTCAAACAGGAAGCAAGCATGATCTAAACAACATGTGTGTGTACTCGCGGGTTCGAGGCCCACGTGTGGCAGTCGCCAGGTACTGGCCGTAGGTCGGTAGTTTTTATCCGGGTACTTCGGCTTTCCTCCATCAGCAAAAATTTGGCACGTCCACAAATGACCATAGCTGTAATAGGGACGTAAACGCAAACAGGGTATCAATTACTAATTCCGTTGTTATTCCCTGCTTAACGTTCAGCGTTTAGGGGAGTGTCAACAACTGGTTCACCCGTTGTCAGTATAATGTGACCGGGTGGAATGCTGTGCTGGGTGCCTTTGGCATGGCATTTCAGTGAGATAGCACTATTAAGTCGGCATCAGATCCGTGTATAACCAGGAGGCAAGAACACTAACATACCCGGTCTGCTGCAGTCACACACGCAAGCACGCATACCCTACATACATGGAGGCACGTCCTTAAATGACCTTAGCTGTAAATAGGACGTTAAACAATATTAAACGAAAACAGACTAAACCAAACCATTTATTTGTTACAACTACATGGGAAGTGCATATTACCTTAGATTGTTAGTAAGGATCCTATATCACAATGGTATCATTGTCATTGCATTATGTAGCATTTTTGGTAGTAGCAATTCATAGCAAATCTTTTGCGTCTGTCTGGATCATCCTTTCGATGATCACTAACAAATACAGGGAGACTACTTTAATGTATATATATGGTGCGAGGTCAAGGGCAACCGGAGTTATTTTTTCATTGGCATGTCTTATTGAACGATATATAGAAGTAAAATATCCCATTCGATTAGGTAATGAACAACATTTTATACATGTATCTGCAAAGCTGAAACACATTTTAAGTGGGAGGTGACGTTTCATACAAAATGTATTTATAGATAATTACTTGAAGATGTATCGTCTATTGCCACTAGACAAACACAACAGAAAACTGGAGTGTCAGAAAAAACATATTTTGAAGAAATTCGAGGAAAAAGGCAAAATATTACAAGAGAATAAAGGCAATATGGCTCTCGGCGAATTGTTATAATAAAAGAAAAATCCGAGATAAAATTGTCATATCTCGGGAACAGCTTAACGGCAAATTCTGAATATGTTATGAGAGAAAATTTAAGTTAAGTCTCTTCCACATTGCATTTTTAAAATTTTTAATAGCGTTACCAATGAATTCAGAAAATCATGGCTACACTCACAGTAGACAATCCGTTACACGTTTTTGCAGGTAGTCAGAATTTGGTTTTACTTATATAACTATGCAGTTACAAATGAAATGAAATTTTGTTTTTTGGTAAAAGGATTTGTTTATAACGAAAGTTGGACGCCAAACAAATTAGCTGTCGCTATACCGGGATGCACTTGGAGCACGAGTGATGGTCGTGCCGTCACCCTGCATATTGTTCTCTGTTAAATAATGTCTCATAAATGACATGTCACCAGCTGCATAAGGGACTTGTAAAGCTTATATAACAGTTTCGATCGTTCGTACCGCTTTCAAACCAGTTAGCATCCTTATTTAAAGTTAATGCACAATTTCGCATCAAAATGTCCATTATGATAATTCACAGATTTCTACAACTCATAGTTTTGCAAAACACAAAAAAGGGATTTCGATTCTCACGACAATGTAAAGCGCCAAAAAAGCCAAAAAATGGTAATATTTACATGAAGATCCCTGAAATGTACATGTAGAATAAGACAAGGGGAGGAAAGCGTCCTTCACTTACCATCATTAACGACATATGGACTGTACATCCCCAAAGTAGGAACCGGAGCAATGACAACGATAAAGCAAACACACTAATGGTCGTAATCAAACTATTGACCTTCATATCACACAAAGAAATAGGTTGCTACCCATTAAGATCATGATGGCTACCAAAACGATTCTTCAGGACGGCATATTCCGTCTTTGCGTTTGCAGAGTTATCTTCTCTTGAGAGCAGGTATTGATTGTTACGTCATTTGTTTGTGAGAGTAACGTCATCAATTTTTGAGGAAACGACGTAATTTTCTCACACAAACCAATGACGTAACAATCAAAACCTGCTCTCAAGAGAAGATAACTCTGCAATACGCAAAGACGGAATACGATCGACGTGGTCAAACAATTCCTTCTTGTTATTAAAAATCGGTACGTCGTCGATTTATCAACATTCAATAATATCAGCCAAATATGAAAACCTAACAAGTCAATCAGGAGAGTGGTACATTTTGTTATCACATGAATGCCTATATTCTGCTTGGAAATCTTGACACGTAATTCGTCAAAGATATTGCCAACCAGACAATAAATCATCCATCCTCCGTGTTTTCCCTCTTGGTCTTTGCCATGTTTTTCCACAAAAAATTCTCCAAGATTGTTTATATTTCATAGTTTTTTCTCGCCTTTCTTCGAAATAACGCCTCGTTAATAAGAGATAGTGTATAGAATGGAAAAGTCAAATATTCGCATAGAAGAAACTTTTTGAGGAGAGAATGCCAAAAATTGAACAGTTTTATTTAAAATCTTTCAAATTCATATTTGACGAATTCCACTTGCATAGAAATTTAATTATTTGTTCTAAAAAGTGAAATTGCACTTCCTCGTAAACGCTGAATAAAAAAAAGAACCAAAATTTTATCCTTTGGACAATTTATTATGAATTAGACAATTTATTATAAATTAGACAAAATAAAAACTACAAAACTGCCAAGTGTTAATAGATCTGAATTAACTGGAACCTTATATGCGCCATGGCCACTGTTTTGAGATCTTACAAATAAATGCTATCGGGACCTCAGCACTATGAGATTCGGCAAGAAGTTGATTGCCAATTGTCCAAACACCTTGCACAGCTTCTTCATAAGTGCTTCCATACATTTTTGGATACGCTGTGGAGATAAGAAAAGCTCCAGAACAGTCTTCGTATCTTCCGTTCACTAGACACTTAGGTCTGCAAACTCGCCCACACGAGTCATAGGCGGTCATGTAAAATTTAGCTGCGCCATTTACTGGGGTTTTCACACCAACATAAGCCATAGAGGAGGATATAGGAAGTCTTTCATCTACTACCGCGTAATCTTTATATCTACCTGAGTAATCAATACCATCCGTTTGTATGAATACCTTTGACGCACCTGAGCCAGATATATGACATTTAGGATAAGTTGCAGGAACTTTCTGTTTTCTTTCTATTTTAAAACTGTCGTACTTTGACGGCGAGAACATATCCGTATTATTTACCAGGTGGCCATCTTTTATTATGAAGGATTCAAATTTAGCTTCAGGTGGTCTTTCAAATATGATTCTAACAGGAACGAAAACCCACTTTTTGAGGTCACTGTCGCCGTCAATAATAAATGTATTTTGGTATGGTTTGTTCATCTGTGACGCGTCATTTGAGAAAGGAGTTGTGGTTTTGTTTGTTTCTTTGACACTTCTACGCCCCCGGAGTGGAACGGTTGCCATGGTATCACCTCGAGTACGAGGATCACGTAGACCTGTTTCAAATCTTTGTCTGATTGGAACTGGGCGTGACCCACGTTGACCCGGGGTACTACTAAATCCTGGTGCAAACCCGCTGATGGACGCGCAGTATCCAGGCGGTACACACTGTAGATAATTACTGCCACCACATTCCGGACATGTAGGGGATGGTGCATACGGGGACTCAATCTCGTTACGATAACCCTGAATATTCATCATGCTAAAGGGAATCATTTGTGACATTGGGGCGTGCATCCGATCACCCTTTCTAGGATAGTCGTTTTCCGGATTCACTCCGGAATTACGTTGAAGGTTTCTAAACATGCTCCATAGATAATCAATGAAAGCGTGATGCATGAAAAATATAGGATCCTGAGGTGAAGAGGAAATTCCCGACATTTGACCGTCGATCCAGATATGGACAGCATTGTGAATAGTTTCAAACGTCATCTGTTGAGGAGGGGCAGGTTCTGTGATGTCAAAATGGCTGAAGGCCGACATTAATTCATTGACTGCGTTATCACTGATCAATGAGCCGTCATTTCCAATGTTTCGGACAAGAGGCACGCGATCAGGTGAAGGAATACTTGGCCATCCGGCAAAGGGACCTGACGCAACATTTCCAAATCCTTCCCCAAAGAACTCTGGTGTCCATACTACAGAGTCGGTTGGCTGAGGCATTCTGTAATCTAGACGACTGTCCCAGTAAGGGATGGGCATTCCCAAGGCTTCCTCCAATCTGAGATAGAAAACATAATCATTTGTAAATATCTTCCTTTAAAAAGTGGGTAAAATATTTTGTTTTGCCTTTTTTTATAGCAAAGAATCGTATTGACACAGTAAATTACCAATGTAGTTTATGACTTATCGCTGCTTGCTAGTAGGTTATTTTTTTCTAAAATACAATTGATCATAGTATAAAGGCTCGGTACTTTGCGATATCACGCCTTTGTATACAATTTTGAATTGAATTTACTTCTCTTGATCGTCAAAATAAAAATTCATCTTTGTTACAGAGCAAAAATGTTCCTACAGATATGGGTAATTGAGTAAACAAGACATCCAATTTGGGAGAAGATTGGATTGGCGGCGCTTATACATATAATAGTACACTTACAAACATTTCGGTGCCTCATATATTTTGGGCGAATTAACTTGATATTTTTTTTGGAACGCAATACATGTTGGAAAGAACATATTCTGGCTCACTACAATAGTGGTCTGGTGTATTTTTAGAATTAATTACTGATTATTATTCTCATTTAAATCGTATCGTAGGAGGCGACTAATGAGGGAGTCACCCTGTAGAATTGGGGATTTGCTTTGGTGTCCTCAATTTCGGGACACAAAAGCGACCAAACTAAATCTGCTAAATGCAATATTTGGGATCTTTATCTTTCTTTCTGCTTCGAACTACCTTTTATTTCATAGCATCTTGCTTGGTAACACTTCGCTTTTGGCCATAATGTTGAGCGTTCGCCCAGGTGAGGAAGTCAATTGGTTCTGTCCCCAAGCCGGGACATACCAAAGTCCTTAAATATGGTAGTTGTTACTCCCTGATTATCGTTCAGCATTTAGGGGAATTGCAACAACTGGTTCACCCGTTGTCAGTATAATGTGACTGGGCAAAATGCTGTGCTGGGTGCCTTCGGGATAGCACTAAAAAGTCGGCAATAGATCCGCCCTATCACAAGGAGGCAGGTACACCAACATACCCTGTCTCCTGCATACACACACGCAAGCACGCATACATTACACACATGGAGGCACGTCCTTAAATGACCCTAGCTGTTAATAGGACGTTAAACAAAATTAAATCAAACCAAACCATGATTGTGGCATCAATAAGTTTTTGTCCATTATATAATAACGACCAAAAATCTTGAAAATAACTAAACATGCTTATTACTTTGCAACGTGATTGGGGGAAATACAGGGTTAGGCAGATTTTCCCTTAGTTGTTAGACTGCATATTAAGTGGCTTGTTACTTACAAGAGTAGGTAGAATCGATGCCAGCCGAGGAAGTTAGGTCCATTGTGAGCTGCCTGTATGATTGCTGGGGACATGTGCATGTCAGTAATAGCGTAGTAAGGAACAAAGGGGGGCTGTCCTGGTGTTAACTGCAGTCAAATTGAAAACATTTGGTTTTTATTAAGCTTTTCTGGAAAATCATTTGAAATTGTGAAAAGGGGGTCTTCGTTTTAAAAATATGCAATTACAACAAACAAAACCCCAGACGTCTTTCATATGATAGACAGAGTATAGCTCTGTTTTCAAATATAGCTCTTTTTTTGTAATTCATATGATTGAAAGTTCTAATCTTCTTGTAACTGTTTTCCTATTATCTCTTAATAAGAAAATTGACCGAGATAAAAAAAATAAATCGTGCCGACATTTTTTTCAGGCAATCTTAACTATAAACAGTTCATATCCATGTATGCTATTTTTGCGTATATAAATTATATTAGACCAGACAAACGGATTATCTCCATAGATTTAGCAAAATTGGCGAGTCAGCTGTCTATATTATTTCACCAAATAGATAGAGTTTATTGTCTTTTTTAATGTTCTAAAGTAGATAAATCGTTCTCTTTAGAAAACTGCATTAATTCTTATGTCGATCTTAATGGGGAGTTAATTATAAATTAGTTGTGATGATAATGATGGCGATTCACCACGATGATGACGTTGATGATTATCATGCAAAGCACAGGTTGACAGTTTTATCCATAATTTAACATTTTAATTGGATACAATTAAACAACAATTGGTATGTATAACTATTCCGAGGTCAGGGCGAACTCTCAAACTTCATCTATAAAAACTTTATGCTTATGATGATTGACTGACATTAATGACATTTGCATACATTTTGGACTGTTTCATTGCTATTTATGGATCTGGGGTCAGGCCATTATCTCACCTGACCAAATGTTACATATCTTATCCCTGGTGCGTATTTCATGGATGTTAACAACATTTGTTCAAAAATAAATCTTCTCATCTTTGTTATATTAAATAAACATGCATTGATATTTTACTTATAAGATGTTTATAATTTATTTTGTATTATAGTCATAAATTTAATAGACTTTTAATGTTTTAGTTAAAATTTTATCAAAATCTTTTCTTTTCATATTTAAAAAGTCATTGCGCCAATATTTCTGCATTCAGGCACATCCAGCTTCATTAGGTAAATGATTTGTGTAAAGAGAATCGTATCTTCGTGCATTTGTTTCAAATATGTGTTTATTTCGTTGTTACTTTTGTTTTGTTTTTATTTTTGTTTTGTTTTTTGTTCTTTTTGAACTGTAAAAGTTGAAATCCTCCGCTGTGAAAATGTTCGCGTTGTAAAACTCTTTGGAACGTGTTTGAATTCCGCGTTTGAAATGCTTCTGAAATCCATGCAGATGCATATAAACTGTATTGAAACAAGTTATGAAAGACACCTTTCTGTCTAGGAAAGCCAAACCGGTGAAATCATTATTCTAAGACGACTTAATTGACAATATGTCGTTACATATTTCAGACAGCATCACGTGAGGATTAAGCGAGTAATATTCACCCAGTGAAAAACACAAAACATATGTTATAACAAAAACCATACCATAATAAAGAAATTGAAATTATGTTTCTAAATTTTAGTTTCATGTATTCGGTTTTCAAGTGTCTTTAGTCCGTTTAGCATTATTTCTCTTGGTGCAACGAATTGTGTATTCTTTGCATAAACCTGTATTCATTATATGTCTGAGAGGAAACATACTGAGATTGTTGGACGTAAAATCTCCTACCATTATTGTCAAACCATATATATTAAAGTTAATATTTACTAGTTAATATTGCAAGAGCTGCTTTTAAAATAACTCAGGCACTAGAGATATTCACAAGAGATAACCGGCCCTAATCCATTGATCGAATTTTAATATAGCAATGCAAAATTGCGTTTTTGATAAATGTTGAAAAGTGTTTAAAATATTCAAGGAATCTTAACTTTAACATTGAGAAGAAAAAAAATCACAATTATCTAGAACACATAAATGATATAAAAATACATTATATTTTTTTTATCAAATTGGAAATTGTTAATTACCGTGATTGAAAGTGTTAACATTGATACCTTAGTAATTCGAAAATAATACATGTAAATATACAAGGTGTCCATTTTCCTCATTGTTTATAAGTTAATAATATGTGATAGATTGGTTCATACACTCTACTTACAATAGGTTGTTGAAGTTGATTAAGTCGATACATGAGAGTGTCCCATTCCTGACGTGAAAGAGTTCTAATTTCTCTCCTCACACCCATGATCCTTGGGCCTGGAAAACCTTGTCGTTTTGACCTATGACCCTTTTTCTCGTGCTTGCTGATGACCCGTCGCATGAGCTCTCCTACGTAGGAGATTGTTTGATTGGTCACCTGCCGTTGTGGCCGAAGGTGGGCAGTCTGGTATAAGTATTTAGTGATGCAGAATATGTTGACTTCCTGGGACGGTTTTTGTGTTATATCAATGTTCTTGGTCTGATATTTGTAACATTCCTGTAGTTCGTCCGGCAATGGAATTTGCTGAACAAAGCCATTGGTCGTTCCAGTCATGAACCCGAGAAGTACTGCAACAAGCATGATGGGAAACATACTTCCGGAAGTCTGTTTCAAAGCAAATAAAACAAAAAATTGTATTACAATAACCGTTAACACACCAGGAAACGTGAACCTCAAATAAAGCACACAAACACGACAATAGATGTTGTAAAGAGACGAAAAATCTAAAGGAAAAGCTATTTAAGGAACCTGAGAGGAAATGATGTGTTCCTGAAAATAAGCTTTCCTGTACCAGATACACAACATTCGTCTTATGGCCTTCTGTAAAACAAAGTGAACTAAGGTGACACGGTAGTCTAGTGGTAGGACGCCGGGCTCGAACCCGTAACCGAAGGGTTACGGGTTCGAGTCACGGTACGGCACTGTGTTGTATCTTTGAGCAATATACTTTTCTCCGGTTGTTCCAGTCTACTCAGCTGTAAATGAGTACGTCGTTGCGCAGTGCTAAAAATGTTGAACGGTAGCTGTGAGCGCCGAAATGGCAGCACCGACTGTTTGCTCCCCAGGAAGTTAAAAAAGATATTGGCTGGTTGCAAAGGCCTTCTAACCACGGTTAATAAGAACTTCGAATTATTACTATTATTAATAGTGTTTCGGTCACGATCATTTTTGAAAACTGAACATTAACAAAATATACATTAGTATTTACATCAGTCGATTTCCAGTGTTTGCATGATAGAAATAGTTATAATAATAATAATAATATACAACATTTGATATAGCGCCCTATCTAGCTAACATAAGCCACTCTAAAGCGCTTTACAGTACATAGGTATACAAGTAATACAATTAGCATATACATTAATTAATTCAATTATGAGGAATTCGCAGGAGCTGCCTTATCAGGCGCTAATTAATGTTTGTATGCCTGCGTGTGTGCTGGAGATGTATTGTGTTCTGTTTGTAGTGGGACCGTGCTTCCAACGACATCTTTTACAGTGCCACCTCACTAGAATGCTACAGCACAGATACCGCAACATCCACCCCATACCATTTTATACTCCACCTGCGTTGTTGGAGTTGTGTGGAGTTATAATGAAAATTATATAAAAAAATCAAATCTCTTTACAAATCCGCTTTGCAAATCTATTATATATCTGATTTGAGTTCGTTGCTAATAAGTGTGTCTATTATTTGTTGTTTTTATTGGTATTTTCAATATCCTTTTAACGAAGTAACAACAAAGCAAGAAATACTGGGTTTCGAAATCGAACCTCTAAACTTAACTCAAGGGACGAGTTATATGGCAAACGGTCAACAAAATAAAGGAAAATAAATATACACTTTACTTATAATCACGCAAATACCATGTACATCTGTCCTCAAATTGCATACTCAGTAAGATATATTTTCTTCACTATAATTTTTCGTGATGTGTATGTTGCCATACTCTTTAAATCATAGGAATGAGACTGGATATATTATCCATACATGTCTGTTTGCCAGCATGTATCGCCCCATGTTAAATTATTAAATAAATAATTGAACAAATAAACACAACATTATTCTTCTTATTATTATTATTTTGCGTAATGTTTTACATTATCCAACATTGTATTGATATATAGATCCCTTTATATTTTGTACAAAAAATATAATATGTAATGCTGGTAGATGCACTTTGATAATGTAGTAGAATAAATGTTCTTACCATGACGAACCCAACCCGGCGATGAAAAGCTAGGGACTGCACTACAAAAGGCAAAGTCCATTCTCTTTATATATTTATATGCTAATTTAATACAGATTTCCGTCATAGAGGGATGATGGCATGCAGAAAGAGTAAGACACTTTGATTCATTTTTAGGATATGTCCTTTGAATGTAATTGATAAAAGCATTTAACCATTCTTAGGTCAGTACGAACTCGCCTACTAATTAAACCTAATGGGCCTTATGATTGACTGACGCTGAACACATTTGCATACAATTTAGACTGTTTAATGTATGTTTATAGCTCTCTCCTCAGTGTCCATCAAAACCACACCTGACTAAAATATATATTTAGGTACCTACTCTTGTCAAACACCATATCATGATGATAATGAGGTTGTGATCCCGAAAGGTGCAACACTCGTCTTGATGCCTCGCCATCACAATGAGTTTCGTTGGGTTTTTTCCAGTTCTGATTTAATGAGGATATTAATGATTATTAATTCACACCATTAAATGCAGATTAATGCCATTAAATTTAAGAGAGATGGACGTGAGTCACGCACATACATGTGACTGCATCTTCAAAATATGACAAAAGATACAGTATGTCAAAACTTGATTTACACTGCATATTTTTGCACTTATTTCCTCATCGCAAAAAACTCCTATTTTTACAATAATTCCATATATACTTTGGGGTGTGGGTTATAGTTTTGTGTATAATAAATGTGTTCTTTCAAATAAAGATTCATGTCATAGTAGCTAATTTTTACATTAACATAAGAGGGCCAATACATGGAACCAATGATAGGTATTTGTAGGCGTTAATTCAAAGAATATGTCACTGGAACGAAAACATACACTTATCAAAGAATTGACTATGTAACCATTAATTTGCATATCGGTTTCCCTGTTATTTCAAGTATGGTTCATTTTTCTTATTTATTTCTCTGATATGTTCGATAAAAGTTTGGACTAATTTTTGTAAAGTCCGTCAATCAGATCGAAAGTCAATTGATGTCACTCTTAAAGTTGTTCAGTTCACTTTGATCGTACTCGTTTTGTCCAATCACAAATCGGCGACTTACAGATTCATTCCATAGGTGCCTTGTGGCCTTTGACATTAACTCCCATGCTGATACATCTCTGATGGTGACAACTGTGATGACGTAGACAAGTACCGTGCAGAAGTAAGTGTAAAACGTGTGTGTGTATCACACTACTTCCCGTTACGTTACAAAGTGATACCACCACACCCAATACGTGAGTTATCAGTATTTATTGACCCCGATGCCCAAACCACAATCAACGATCTGCATGATAAGTGTGTATTTATGACAAAGCATCTTACAAATTATTTGTTGTCCGTAAACACTTTTACATTTTATGTCTGCAAAAAGAACTAAGCTAGCATGATAACAAAAAGAAAACCTGTCTATATATTGTACATCTTTGTAGGCAAACGAATAATCAATTAAAACACCTTCTTAAAAAATTGGAAGTTAAAAAGCCAAATTAAAGCAAACATTGTCCTGCATATAACATGTAAATCTTTTTTGTCCACTTAAGACTTATCAGTGTTACCGAAGGCCAAATGAATGAAATTCCTTGTCAAAATGTTTTAAAATGCATTATCACATTTGATAATTGCAAAATAATTCTTACATATATCGGATACTGAAAGGCGAAATACTTATCATTCTTCTGACGTCGTATGCTTGTCATCGATACGGACTTACCTCATTGGTCCGAAACTCTACAAGGATCCTTAAAACAACATTTTATCACTGGCTATGCTTGTTTATAAACAAAGCCATGTCCAATATTCTCACTTCAAATTTAAGTTCCATGAAATCATAGACACAGTTGTGTTGTAACACCATACTCCAAAAGGGGAATTTATAAAATTAATTCAGGAAAACCGAAAAGATCTTCCGATCATTCTTAAACATTCATTCTTGAAAATGTTTAGTTTTTAGAACATTTCACTTTTCAGCTTCGTCTAATATCATATCTCTTACACAATTAAAAGGACGTTTTCTGTTCAGTTATGATATTATGAACGGCGATACAAATTCATGATTGGTAGCTATTTTGGAGCACAAATGACAAATACTAATGAATATTTCGTAAGAATAGCCATACCTTTGTTGTGGTCGGTGTTCAGCTTGTCCATCATATTATTGGTATACCCAAGAAGGTAAATGTGCACTTGTATTGGCCAATTAGCGCTTCTGATGTTTTCTTCGCTTAGTTTCCTGGACCTTTACTTGAAATTTAATCTACAGGGACGCCTCACAGTTAGGCTCCAACATCCGATCATAATATTTCCCTTTATTGATAGTAGCCTCTCTGTTCCCCAACCTGCGGTGCTAGTATGTCAAATCGGATTCGGCATTTATGGGTTTAACCAAATATTACTTTTACTGTGATGGATGACGAAGTTTATGATGATTATGGACAAGCTTGATAGTCGCCGGTTTGATCTCAATCGGAAATAATATATTTCTTTGCCCGAAATGAATATTGATGATTTCGATTTGAGTCAGAAGTGTGCGTTATGCTTTCGCTGTCACTACTCCAGTTATATTTGAAAACGCGACATTTCTTTGATTTGACTTTGATTACGATTGCGCATGCCGCCGACGAAGCAAACAATATTTTGTTTTTGTATGACCTAGACTTTATCAATACTTTTTATGTGTCCGATAAACTGATTTGTTTCCTTTTTTCAGCATAGTACTCTATCTCACTTTATGTGGTTTACAATTCTTAGAAAATGTGAAGGAAACATTCCAATTTTTCCTGAAGCTCAACTAACCTTGTCATCCTTAATTTTACCTTTTTGAAAATTGTCTATCAAAATATTACATAAAACTCATGAATCATAACCAAAATAGTGAAAATTAGTTTTAAAAGTGGAAATAATACATTGGATATTGCGGTAGACCGTACGTAAAGAGTGATGATTTTACCCTGCCAATTAAGTTACTACACGCTCTGAATTACACTGCTGAATAAGGTCACTGGGTTACTAAAACGGTAGTTTCTGATGTTGGAATGTAGACTACATATTTTGTAGACAATTACAGACTACTTAATGAAAATAGATGTCTTGCTAAATGTCAAATGTCCCCCTTACCATCAATACGTATAAAACAATAACAAATATTAATCTGATTAGAAATGAAATACATACTTTAAAAGTAATTAAAAAAAGACAAGGATTATACAGATTTTCAGGTAAAATCGCATGCGTATTTTACTTACATCAACTGTTTGGGAATTTTGATAAGTTCTAACAATGTGGGAGATTTACGTAAGAAATGCAAGATAAGCGATCTCCAGTGTCTATAAAAATGACCCAAAGATTAAACTTCTGCTCAAACACATTTTATTCAAATAGAACACAATACATATTTGATTATAGGGTTATGAAGTATATCGGTCACAACGATCTATTTTCGCTTTCATATAAGTTATTAGTACACTCGCGTTATTTGGCTTAATTTGTAGAGAGGTCGTCTGGTGAAAACTTCTTATACTTCTCTTTTATTACAAAAAGTTTATTTTATCTTTCCATTAGGATATTTGAATATTGAAAAAAAGTGACAAGTTATATCATGTTTATTTGATTGATTGCTTGTTTGAGTGGTTGTACAACTGCTTAACAAGAAAAAAAGATAGAAAGATGAGTAAAAGGGATAAAGAAGGCAGTGAAGGGACTGAAAGGAATGATGGAAGAAATAATGGGAGCCGTCTATCCATTTAGGTTAACAAGCAATCGTCATTTATGTATTCTAGCTGGATGGATTGCTTAGTTCACTTTTATCACAAAGTTTGAATGTAGTATGTGTTTATATTGTATACAGTACTGCTAACGTGACTACAAATATCATAAAAAAAAATAGAAAAATATCGCAACCTCAGTATACAAATGGAACTCGAACAAAAGTGACATCAATTTTATGATTCAAAGAACATTTAATTTAGATTAAAGGATTGATAGGTCACTGCTTATTTCATCCTCTGAAATATTTTTCAACAATAACCTGCATAGTAATGGGGGTTTTTAATTATGAAGCTTCATTTTGAAATTTTGTTTTACGCTATTCGTAAACAAGCTTAACTTTTTAATTAATTTTATTTTAAATATTTTTCAAATTTTTCATAAGGGCTTCCTTACTTCATATTACTGGAGATTGGTTTACATAATAATGTGGTTATCATGTTAGGAAACATTTTGACATAGATTATCATTCTTAATAAATAAATAAAAAATAAATAATCCTTAGTAAACGACGTGTACTTTTGTCAACAAACATAAGCTATGTAGAGCTTTTATTACGACGCCGCTAAAGAAACAAATCATGTTTTCGTGGTGGAAGAAAACCCAAGGGGGAAAACCTCCATGCCATCGGTGGGATAACAACTAACCCTATCATACAAGCATTCTCTTTTTTCCACCACCGCTGTGGATCAAACCGAAATTCTTGGGAGAGTGAGTGGCCTGAATTTCACGCTTGATTGCACACAGCAGAAATGACTGCTCGGATTAACGAACACGGCTAACAAGGCACCTTGTTTTGACCGTAGTACCATGCGTTGATTGATCCGTCATGAGGAGAAGTGGCCAAATAACGCAATAAATGTCTCCTTTGTTTGACTTTCTGTATCATCAAAACACAATTTTTAAAAAGGTGCTTCAATGCGTCTTATCTGTCTAGTAATTTTTCTTCATAAGGACAATTTATTGTCGTCGTTGTGAGCTAGTTTCTAGATATAGAATTTAAGTGTCTCCCATTACTAAATATTTGTTCGCAGTTTTCTAGGTCTTTGGTGACTGGTATACTTCTCTTGGATTGGACACGAAAGCAACATGTTGGATGGGAAATGTGTTATACGATCGCGGTTTCCCTTCCGTAACTCCTGGTCTTCGCTTCTGTATATTTTTGTGGCTAGTTACATCTTTCGTTTTGTTTTTAGGTTTCTTTGGGCCCTGTTTCATTCTTTTTTTCTTTTCATCCCGACTTTCAGTTCCACTTTGACCGAGGATGTTGACGCAGTGTTATATTTTCTCTACCCATCGCATTGCTATATTCTTTCAATGGACTTTTTCTTGAAACTTTCTGCTAGATAATCTACGCATTGTGATGACGTAAATGGCAAAGTAATATATAAAACAAATTAGAAGTTTTTGTAATTTGTAACATATATTGATATAGAATATTTACTTTACAATAAAATGGACGTTAATAGATAAAGCCCAAATACTCCACTGAGCTGTATTTATTTATAAAAAAAAGACAAAAATATAATAAATAGAAAATAAAACAACATTTAATCTGGTTTGACAAAGCATTTTCAAATACAAACAGATAAAAGACATTTGTATATCAAAGAAAAACTTAAAGATGATATTGCGTATGAGTTTCGTCACTTTATATGACTTATTATGAGGGAAGGTCAGCGGAAAGGGCATATAGAGACATGCGCGTTCTCACGTAGTGTATTCTTGTGTCTACATACGTCAGAGTCTCCTGATATCAGCAATAAAATGTGCCACAAACGTCAGCTTCATAATTATAGCTTGTCAAAAACTGCTGGCTGATACACGACTATTAAGGTGTAAGATCTTGCTCCATCCGTTGTATTTACATAAATTCAGCTTTAAATGTCATGGTCCTGTTTTGACGATTCGTCTTGTGATAATTAGTGTTGCATGATGAGTGAAGCTAAAATGATATATTGCGCGACTCAAATTATATGGAGTTTCGATGTTGTATTTGTATATGTCATTCGTCTAAACGATATTAAGGATCCCCGTACCACTGCAAAAAAAGAACATGTATTGAAAATATTTTGTCCGGCATTACTATATCTTCGACAAATAATTTCTAAAAAGAAAACTATACCTTGTGTGTTTTTTTTAGAAAAAACAATAAAGGTGACAGTGAGTGATCTGAACGGGGTCAGACCGAGATTCGAACTCTGGACCTCTTAATGATATACTGTCATTCTAACCAACTAAGCTTCCTTGTCAACGGTAGTACCCAGGTCCAACTGTGGTACAGTTATATACACAACGAAATTAAGGGGAGGTTACTGTATCTACAAAAAACTAGATTGCAGTGAGACAGGGATCCTTAACACAAACTTTTCTGTCCGGAAATAAAATAATTGTAATGAAAAACCAATAATCACCACCTATAACCTGCCCTGCAGGTAGGGCGTAAGAATTGTACTTGCTGCCCCCAATTGCATGATCGTAAGAGGCGACTAAATTTGGGACCTTATCTCTAATCTCCTTTCTAAATAACTTTCTTTTTCCTAATGTCTCCCTTGACAATGCCTCACTTTTGGCCATTTGTTGAGCGTTCGCCCCTGTGAGGAAGGCGTTGGGTTCTGTCCCCTGGCCGAGACATACCAAAGTCTTTAAAAATGGCAGTTTCTACTCCTGCTTAACGCTCTGCAAATAAGGAGTGGGACGACTGGTTCGCCCGTTGTCAGTATAATGTGACCGGGTGGGGCGTCCTGCTGGGTGTCTTCGGCAGTATGTTTCAGTGAGGTAGCACTATAAAGTCGGCATCAGTTCCGCGCTATCACAAGGAGACAAACACGAACATATCGCAGCCTCCCAAAATACACACACATACACTACACGCATGCATCTTGCACACAGGGGAGGCCGTCCTTAAATGACCTTAGCTGTTAATAGGACGTTAAACAAAATCAAACAAACAAACAAACAAACCACCTATAACTCGGTAAAAGCGCATAAACATTTGATATGATCAACAAATTTATGTACATTCATATACATAGAATTACATGCATACCTTATTTTATTTAGACAATTGATCTACATCTTTACATCACCCTGGTAAAATAATAACCGCTTCTTGCCGACTCGGTTTTGGAGAATTACTTTGATCTCATACGATAGAGCGACAGTCTAGTAAAACAGAGGTCCTTACTTCGATCCGTAACGGAGGTATTGCATCGAAAATACAATGACCTCTGTTACTTTGGCGGGTACCTAGTGGGAAAGATTGATATAGATACACTTAGCCCGTCTCTCACAAGCATTGCTGTTACCCCTTGAAACATTCGACTCGAGTTATTTTGAGGGGAAGGGGCGGGGCGGTTGGAGGGAGGGGTGTGTGTGTGTGTGTGTGGGNACCGACTTTGGCAGTGAGAATTTCTCTTCTGCTCACTCGTTAGAGCGTCAGACTTTTAAGCCGGAAATCCTGGGTTCGGCGCTAGCTGATGCACTGCATTCATTTTATAAACTCGCGTATATTTAATCAGCTGTTATGATAACAATAGAAATATATTCAGTATATTATTCATAAGCATACTCCGTCAGGCAATTTGAAGGCAACGTTGACTTAAATGCATATTGTTTGATAAAAAGACGACTGACATTATGTTAATTAATGTTGAAAGAACTCAAGCAATGCAGATGCCAACCAAAGAAAGACCGAGCTAATATCAATCCGAATACATCCATCATTCTTTAATGACTTCTAGGTCAGTTCCTATGATAAGCGCATCCTGAAAAATAAAGAAAATGATGTTCATCAGTCTGGAAATATGTAATTTCAAAGTTTTACCGGCAAATAATTTATTATGTTTCGCGCAAAATAAATACATAAAAATGTAAAAAAATAAAATAATACGTGATGTATTCATTTAGTGAATCGCGACTCAATGTCCTCGTCAATAAGAACAGAAATATAAGTCCGCGAAAATAAGTGCTCGAGAAATTTAAGTGTTCGACAGTAATAAATGAAATTACCTGGCTCAGTTGAATGTCAGTGTTTTTGAGTCTAATGTCATCTGACTTTATCAATGGTAATCCTGTTTTGCCCAAACCTACAAATAACAGATAATCATATTAATACAGATCATATATGATAAGAGTATTTATTACATACTTACTGATAAATACGTTTTTTTTTGTATATGCGATACGACACAATTGCTCTAACCCATATCAGCCCTCGCCGTATCACACCCCAAAACCCGTATCAGCCCCCGCCGTATCACACCCCGGTAAAACCCGTATCAGCCCGCAAAACCCATATCACACCCCGTTTGGAAAAAAACCTTGTTTTTCAATATTTCAAAAATAAAAATAAATCATAAGACAGTAGTTTTTATTACTAAATATGTAATAAACAGAATAAAACCCGCCTTTTTCCATATCACACCCAGTATCAACCCTCGACCAATATCAGCCCTCGGGCCTTCGGCCCTTGGGCTGATATTACAGTCACGGGGTGATACTGGGTGTGATATGGAAAAAGGCGTGTTTTATTCTCTATGTACATAAATAAACACAAATATTTATATTTGAATATTAGACGACACAACTTATTCCTACATCCTAATTGCTTGGAGCATAATCAATTGAAGGGCGGTGATTTGTGATATTGATCCGGTATTAATGTTTTGTTTACGAACTTCAGATTTTTATTCTCTTTATGACGTCATATTAATTGTACCGTCACAATGGTTTCTGCCAAATGCAGTTCTTTTGATGATTTTATCAGTTCCATACTGTTTAATAATAATAAAAAAACACGACATCATCGAGGTTAATGTAACTTTTATGGTTCATATAACCACGTATTCTCCTCAACAAGAGTATATAATTGATAAACATCTCCGTGGTTAATGTATTGTTTTCAACATCGCAATCCGTCAAGGAAGATCACACTCTTGTACATCCTGCCGGAGTGTGATTGCAGGCAAGAGACGTGGTGGTGACCTTTTTCGGTATTCAATACAGAGCAATAAAGTGAGTTAATACTATAAAATGACCATTGACCTTTGAACCATGAAATACTAAATCACACTTTCGTCTCTTCAGTGACAGGAAACTGTCTGTGCAAATAAGAACACTCGCATATTTTCACTCATTATATCAGTATTCAATACAAAGCAATATACATATTATATATAGTACAATAAAAATTGACTGTTGACCTTTGAACCATAAAATACTAAAGCATACTATAGTCTCTTCAGAGGAGAGGAGGTGTCTGTGCAAATATTAACACTCGTATACTATCGCTCGGTTTATGTCAATATTGCGCATTTAAGGTTTACATAATAAGCTTGTATCCATCCAGAAAAACGACCGTTTCTTAGTCAAGAAAAGGTTAAAACTTAAGTATCAATTGGACAATGATATTACCATGTCATTCCGACATTAATACATCACTGATTTGCCAGTGATGCCAATAAATGTCAAACGACGTGTTTCAAGTGTTCTGATGCAAAATACTTAACAGTCTTTAAAGACAAATGCGTCGACATGAAATGTCAAAAGAAGGTGGAAGAATAGAAATATGTTGAAATGATCAAAGCAAAGAAATGGAACAGGCGCCATGCATATTGTATAGTAGAAATCGAACAGGGCTCGAAGTATTGAGCGTTTTTAGTCACTTACTTAAAAATGCGGACAAATAAAAACGCTTTCTGAGTACTTACCATCTAACTTCGGTTTAATGTAGTCTTTTACGATGTTTTGCATGATGAAGTTGAGTGCACGTTCCTGCGGAAAATATATATGTTGGAAATTAGTAACTATGGTAGCGAAATAAATATTAATATAAGAAGCACTTGAGTGGTGTCTACGTGTATACAGCCTAAATATTATCATTTTGCAGCATTTCCGTTGATAATAAAAATAATAATGATAATTAATAATTGGAGGTTCTTTTTACCGCTTTATCACAACCTCTAAGTTCGTAGGTCGTCTCAAAGCGGTTCACACATTATTATCCGTGGTTATAGGGCCTTTGCAACCAGCCAATATCTTTCTCTACCCCCCTGGAGAGCAAACAGCCGGTGCTGCCACAGCTATCAACCAACAATTCTAGCACTGCCCAACCACGTACTCATTTACAGCTGAGTGGACTGGGACAAGCGGAGTGAAGTATCTTGTTCAATGATACAGCACAGTGTCATGATGTGACTCGAACCCGCAACCCTTCGGTCACAAGCCCGACATCCTACCACTAGGCTACCGCGCCTCCTTGATGTGTTGAATATGATAAGTTGTTGTCTCTATAATGTTGGACTATTTCACTACTATTATTTAGGAAACAAAAGTCCATTAACAAATTAAATATTACGTCAAATACAGAGGTCAAATGATGAACTCTTTCTTTAATATAATAAATAAAATGAAAATATGAATTTTAACATGTTTATATACAACTGTTATGATACGTTAATAAAAGTGATGAAATGGGTATAGATAATTAAAAAAATTCAAACAAAATGGGTTGAATAATAGATATTCGTAAGAATATCGTTAGAAATGTACAGTTTATTAATTAATTCGGTATTATTTGTTCAGTATTCTAACCTGCTCCATTAAACGAAAAATACATAAACAATACAGTTTACTCACATATATTGGATGCAGCGTTGAGTTCGATATGCAGACATTGAAACTGTGTAAGAAAAGAATATAAAAAACTATTAACTTATGAAATTTATGAATATATATACAGTTTTGTAATATTGAAATTTTTCTGTATATTGAAATAATCACTTCATTAATTTAGTCTCGAACGTGAGGAATTTTCGGGTTTTTTTTCAGCAATTTATGTTTTTTACAAATGTATAGATGCAGTTAGTAGGAGTAGCTATTATGTACACAATAATTACAATTACATAATAAACACATTTAATGTTGTAATTTATGTTATCAGCACGTTCTCGATTCTAGCAAGTTAATCATACACTAAACAAAAGGGAAAACCAGTTTTTTAGTAAACAATGCAAAATGCAATGCATTTCAGGTATTTCCACAAACAGAGGTAGAGTATAATCACGTGCAGGTCTGGGTTTTTTTTGTTGTTTTTTTTACATTTACTCGGTGTTACTAATCTTTTAAAGCGGGTTAATATTCACTTATGACGTCGTTTCGATTGTAACGTCTCACAAATCCATCACTTTCCTTCGTAAAACTTATCCTACGTTCCACCTTGTAAAATTACTTAAACATTTTTCAGCGAACTTTAATTTCGATGATAAAGTGGTTATATGAACTGGAGACAGTGATAATGACCTCGATTTCGCGTCGGTCAAAATCACCTCAACAAATGTCTATAATTCATAAATATACTCACTTCATTTTCTTTAGCTTCGAATGTAGATATCCTTTGGCGTAACTAATGTCTATGACTGAAGTCATATCCTTCAAATGAAACATAAAAAATAAAAGTTCGATTTGGAAAGACGAAAATATAGTAAAACAGCTGACCCCCTTCTTTGACGAATTTGACAAGAACACATTTAGATTATTTCTATGGGTATATTGCAACTGAATGTCAAATGTTTGCAGTGAATCTCAGTATTTGTTGTACCAGAAAAATGAGCTCTGTTTCCTGCCGAGGGATTGTTGATTCTTAATTAGTACGTTTCAGATTCCAGATGTCACTTTGTCTTCCCTTCAGTCAAACCCATTGTAATTACTTTTGCTTCTCGCTTAAACCACACATAAGAGTGCAGCCTATCGTTTTGAAATCTTCTCAAACATTCTTGATTTTATAAATACGCGTAACTTTTGCTCATTTTGCAATTCATATCAGTCGACAAATGAAGTTTTTGGCATTCCTCAACGACATCATTCATCAACGCCATATTTTATTGTGGACTTTTTAAGGATCCCTGTTCCACAGCAATACACTTGTAATACACTGAAGAATCCAATATAGTTTTTTTCATTCAAACGGAAACTTCCCTTTATCTTTATGTTAAATATAACTGTAATGGGATCAAAATATATATATAAAAATATGGTCTTTTTGTTTTTGTTTTACAACAATTATGAAACAAATTATTTCAACTTATATTACCTGCTCTTGGACCGGATGTTAGCGCATTAAATACGTACCGTATCCATGGTGAAGAGATATTGGCGTTCTGATGCAGAGGTCCTTTTTACATGCATGGTCATTGTTCCGTTCATTGTCAGATGAAGTTTTCCTTGAATTAGGGCAATATTTGGAGCTTTTCTGGACATCAAATCTACTTCTACAACTTCGTTTGGGAAACTGTGAGTCAGCTAAAACGAAACCAATATAATTCATCAGTTTTTAAATAGAGCAACGATATTCCATAGTCCATAGAAGAATTTCGGTTAGGTCGAGTTCATGATAAATTATTTTAATCAAACAAGATTAATTTATTTGGTCGTCTTTTCACTCACCTGTGGTAAAAATTTCCCGATACACACACTTCCAAACTTGCATGATGTGTTAAGAAATGCGTCATCAAACTGAAATAAAAGTAAGATATAATATCAAGCTACTCCAACTTAAAAATATAATCGTGAAATTTGTTTTGTTAATATATCTTAATGAATTCATTTTACACATAAAGTAGCCAAAGTATATATAATGGTAGAAAGTATGAGTGAGCCCCACAATACTTTTTTTGTTCGGAAACTATGATCGTTGTTATCATTGAATGTTTTTTAAATCATTAAAGTATTATCATTACAGGTTGTGTTTAACTTAGAAAACTGTTATCAGTTTTGGCTGTATCAAACAAGCGTTATCATAGATAACAATCATATAATTTGCAGAATAAAGTAAAATCCAGGTATACTGCCATCACGTGTTCTGAGAAGGTTTGGCGATAGATTGAAGAAACATATAAAGCAATTCTTAAAACAAAACGAAAATAGGTCGGCGGTAATCGAAGTGTCAAATCAAACGAGGGGCGTTATATGGAGATGTTATGGTATGTTGTATAAAACAATGGCCATTATTACTACCCTATGTGAGTCTCAAGATTATTTATCTTATATTTTTCGAAAACATTAAAAATACGTTTAGTGCTTGAAGATGCCTTTTAAACTGCAGCATTGGTATGGGGTTTTTTCAAGTGCAAACATGTTCGTTTTAAAATAACTTTTTAAAGATTTGCTGATATGTAAATTAATTGATAAACGGATATACTTACGTCACCGTTTGTTAGAGTCCTCTTCAATATGCCATGCCTCTCAGCTTGGTAACTCAAAGAGTTAAACATGTAGCCGGACACCCACACGTACACCATCTTGTCGGTGCTGTTGGTATTTGGAAATGGGCTCGGGTCAAACGGCATTGGTTCAGTAGTATTCTTCCAGTTTACGTTACCCTACAAATTAAACCATTTACGAACTTTTAATAATAGTCTTTATTTTTACTTGATGACAAACTTGAGTCAACGACTCCTTTAACATATGGTCAAGTATTTATAAAATATACAATAATTTACAAAATGTACATAAAACAGAGAATCAAAAAAATAAAACATGCTGAAATGCAATTGTATACAAAAAAAAATCCACTGCAGTACTTAAGATAAGTCCAGAAAAACTTCTTTGCATTATGTTTAAAAGACAATGGTGAGGGTGCATTTCTAACATGTTCAGGTAAAATAGTCCATGTATATAGTCCCTGGTAGGTAAAAGATTCCTTAAACATGTTTTGTTTTAAATGAAGGTAGGTAAAACAAGTTATTAGAAAAAGATCTAGAAACTCTTGACTGGACATCCGTTGTGTTTTTAAAATGGGTAAGATATTGAGGAGCCAATCCATGTAAAGCTTTGTACATTAAAACTGACTGATTGTGCAATAAACGTTTTGAAAAAAATAGTCAGTTTAACTTCTTATACATGTCACTGGATGGAGTATTAAAGTCACAGTTCAACATAACCCTTGCTGCTCTTTTCTGGGGTTTATCAAGTTCGGTTGCATTTTGGTTAAGTATTGGCGTTATAAAGAATTGGCTATAAATTGATGAAGAGAACAAAAAACCATAATAATATGAGAAAAAGAGGACTTTAAAATATGTTGGCGGTAATCGTAGAGGCAGATGGAACTAAGGGCATTATATCGAGGTTTTACTGTAAAACTTTTGTTTGTTTCATGTGACGTAAGAATCCTTATCATATGATGCTCTTTCCTACGGTTTATTTAAGATATTTTTTTGAAAAATACAAATGAAAAATGTTTTTTATCTATAACATTGATTTCGATTACTTTGGTCAAAATGTATTGACAAAATTGGCAAAATAAAGAAAAAGACAAAATACCTTAAGGAAACTTTCAATGGATTCCGTGTGGATTTCTGGAGCTTTCAGTAGTCCATAGTCAAGTTGAAACTTGTCCCCAATTTTGTGATCGACTAAAGAAAAAGTGATAAGAGAAAACATTCGCGGCACTATTACTCACAGTGATTAATCCAAATAACCGATTGTCATTTTAAAACAAAACAAAAAATATTGCTTTATGTTATGAATGTTTTAAGATGAAGACAGAACTTAAAATTACGCCTCCATCATTCATTCATCCATACATTATTTCGTTCGTTCATTGATCCAATCATCTGTCTGTCCGTTCAATCAATTTCATCCAATCATCCGTCCGTTCAACTGCCAGATCCGTCCGTCCATCAATTAAGCCATCCATTCGTTAAAAAAATCTTCTTTCGTTTAATCAGTCTTTGAGTCATCTAATCATTCACTCATTCATTGATTTAGACATTTATTGATTCATTTAGACATTCATTAATCCACTGTACCTTCACTCATTCACAATCACATCCCTATATTATTCTTTGATGTGCTACCTTTAACTCATTCACCCCTGAAATTTCACAGTGAACTATTCCAACCTTTGATTTAGAAGAGTTAAAATGTGTCTTCAAGGGTGAATGAGTTTAAACAATCTTTTATTGGAAATGGACTTGTACTCACTTCTTACACGTTGTAATGACTTCTCTAAGTCATGATTTACCACTCCTTTGATGGTGTCACAAAGCTAAAACACAAAGACGAAGATAATTGTTGCACAAATATTTATTTTAGCATGAGATTCAAGCTTTTACCTAATATGTTTACACATTGGTATATCTTTTTCAAAAAGGCTTAAAATTCCCTGCGTTACGTATGAATTAAAACTTAGCAATTTGATGTGTTTCGATTAACTAATATTACGTAGGTACTTACATATGAGTATATCTATAAGATTATGATTTTTAGAGGAAATTTATTTGCCAATTTCATGTGGTTTCATAAAGATAAATATTACAGTATTGAAACATAAACTACATTTATTGATATGTTGTATATTGTATCTAATATAGTGTCTCGTTTTAATATTTCTACTTGTATAATTTGTCTTCAGATAAGTTATTGGTAACAGGATACATCTCCAGCACACACGCAGGCATACGCACATAGGGAGATATTAGCCAGGTGACTTAGGACTAGTAGTTAGCGCCTGATAAGGCAGCACCTGTGAAATCCTCAAAATTGTACTGATTAATGTATATGCTAATTGTATTGGTTGTATAAATTGTATATCTATGTACTGTAAAGCGCTTTGGAGGGCTTATTCTAGTTAGATAGGGTGGTATATCAAATGTTGTATATATATATATTTTTTTTTTGAATGTTTTGTAAGGTCTGGTGTTAATGGGAATTTATCGTTGATATTTCACCCTTGACCCATGTGAAACATTTAAGATATAGTCTCCGATATATAACACTTTAAGAATGTTTTTTAGCAATATTTGTAATGCGTATTGGTTTCATGACATTGTATAACATGTGAAAAGTTATTAAATGAGAGAAATGTTATAAAATATTCATCTGCATAACTTTTCCTTACATTTTTCTTCAATACATCTTTCAAATAGCTCCCTATTAGCCCGTGTAGGAGGTTGTAAATTATTGTCCCGATGCTGCCTCCAGAGAATTTGACACTCACTGTGGCAATATTACAATTACAGGAAGACGTCGCTATACTTGGTCTGTTTGTGTCATCCATTCCTGTGCAAGCATGTAAGAAAAAAACTAATTATATTAATAATAGTACACTTAACGGAATAGTATTATCAGAACAGTGAATGAGCACTACTGTCTAAATAAAAATATTATTAACTTTATTTCATAAAAAAACAATTGCAAAGATATTTTTTTTATAAAACTGAAGTTGAAAATGTGTTTTCAGATGATAGAATATCAAATGAAATTCAAACATGACCAAAAACGAAAATAAAATTGACGAGTATATTACATAATAGATTAATTAATAACTTTCCCAAACGAGTCGTCAACATTTTGATATATTTTTTGTTCTTGAAAAAATTAAAATCATAATTATAATAATGTTTAATTTCAGAAGTAAACAAAATAGGGAATGTATCATTTTACTTACATTATCGAACCCATCATCATTTTAGCATATATAACTTGCCGAGTTTCATTCTTGCAATACAAGCTTTCCTGTGTTCATTGATGCCACAAAGCTTTACCAATTTTCATTATATAATCATTTTAGCATCAGTGACTTTCCTATTTTCATTTCCTGACATAAGCTAACCTATATTCATTGAGGCAACAATACTGCCTCATTATTTTGTGCTAGTTAGGCACGTCCTCACGTGGCCTTGGCAGCTGATAGAACGTTAAACAAATTTGGTTTGTTTGGTTTGTTTGTGTTTTACGTCCTATTAACAGTTGTGGTCATTTGAGGACGTGACAGGTTTTGATGGTGGAGGAAAGCCATTGTTCTCGGAGAAAAACCACCGACCGACGGCCAGTACCTAGCGTCTGTCCCCACGTAAATCTCGAACCTGCGACCAAGTGGTGGAGGGTGGTAGCAGAATGTCAGACGCCTTAACCACTTGGCCACCGCGGTCCCCGTTAAACAAAACAAAACCAAAACAAAACATGCTTGCAACATTGTCTTACATGTGTAATATTAGGCCACAAAGCTTTCCCATTTTCACTACGTGGACACTAGCCAACCCATAATCATTTTGGCACCAATAACTTTCCCCTTTTTATTCCACTAACATTACTAACCTATATTCATATAGGCAAAGACAGCTTTCCCAATTTCGTTTTGATAGCATAAACTTACCCATCTTCATCCAGACATCAAACGACCCGCCACTCATACTAACGTCTAGCCCACCATGGTCACTGATTTTAATTGGAATAAACCTGTCAATGAGAAATGTTAACAATGACATTTCATTTCAATAAACATTATTGTTAGCAACAAACGGATTGGACAACAGAAAAAGACTACATAAGTCTTTTCTCATATTATACCACAAATATAAAATTCAGGATGAAGCGAAAAAAATAAATAACAATCTTACATGAACAAGATGTTTTGTATATCTTTACAAAGAACTATGTATACTCTGAAATTACTCATTTTTGTGAGGTTTTTAATTTCATTTATTTCGTTGGTAATTATCATCCACGAATTCATAGGTCATCGAAGTAGTTTTAAGTTTGACATCAAGCATTAGTCCTCCGTTTGAGTGGGTATTCGTAGCCCACCAATTCACGTAACAAACGAAACGGTATTTTGTCAGCGTTTGGGCCCCACGAAAATATCTGATTTCACAGTTTATTAAAAAGGCGATGAAAATAACATACGTTCACTGAATCAAATTATTACTTACATTGGAATAAATATAATAATGATATAAATATTTTTACACGGACCTTACAAACACTTACTGACGTCACACCGGACTGGCGTCCTTACCGCGTCCTAAACTGTCATATTTTGGAGAACGCCGATGGTCGCATTGAGAACGCCAATCATTTTTCTAAAATAAATCCAGATTTCGAGTCAGCCGTCACACCGGAGTTCTGTGCTCTGCGATCTGTGTATGTACACGGCGTTCCCAACACGACCTTACCGCGTTCTTACTGCGTCCTTGGAGTTTCTATTGAGTTTACACGGCGTCACTGCGGCGTCCATACGGCGATCAGCGGCGACCCCACTGCGTTCTTAGCGTTTCTACCACGACCTTACCGCGTGCATGGCGTTCCCACGGCGACTGCAGGGCGACCCAACGGCGTCCTCGCTGCGAGTATAAGACTCCACTGTTCTTTCGGAAAGCTTCATTCATTATTTTACTCTCATCCGTTGAGGTCACGTATTTTATCCGCCCTGACATCGCGGTAAGGACGCCATAGACGTGATGGGGTCGTGATAAGAACCCCATAGACGTGGTAAGGACGCAGTAAGGTCGCAGTAAGGTCGCCATTGGTTCCCTCGATCCTTTTCTCCGCGTTTACATGGCGACTCTACCACGTCTGTACTACGTTCCTTGGCGTTGTTCTGGTTCCTACTGCGATGCTACGGCGACCATGGTGACCTCAGGGCGATCCCACGGCGTCCTGAGCCAGGACGCGCTCAGGACGCCGAACCTCGGCGTCTACTTTGAACATGTCCAAAGTAAACGCCGTCGCTCTGAGACCTTCGGCGTCCTTGGGGTCCCCACGGCGTCTTGATGCGTTCTCACCGCGACCCTACGGCGTCCATGGCGTCCCTTCCACGTCCTGGGTCGCCGTAGGGACGCCGTAGGGACGCCAGTCCGGTGTGACGGCTGTATTACAGGCACAGGGGCGGATCCAGGATTTCCTAAAAGGGGGGGCCGAGAAATTTTTCTTAATATTAAATGGTGTGCTGCCAATGGCAGCATCCCGGGCGAGTAGCGCGAGGAGGGGGGTGGTACGGGAGGGGGTCTTCCCCTTCCCGTAAGGGGGGTTTGGGGGATCTCCCCCCAAAATATTGTGTTTTCTAGAACGTCTCAGAACGATTTCCCGTGTTCTGAGGATTGTTTTTATGTTTAATTAACAAGAAGAAATAAAACATATTTTAAGTATGGCCCAAAGACAGTTTTTGTGTACTGGAAAGAAAATTAAAGTTTTGGTTTAAATTCTCTACCAACAGCGTGTTTTAGAAGTCAGATGGTATTATTATAGAGGCAACCTGGTGATGACAAATGTATGAATCCACAGGGGGCTTGTTCATTATTACCTAATTTGGCGTCCCGCCCGCAAGGGGGATACGAAAGGTATTTACACTAGTGGATGGGGTTATACGTATTGGTAGGGTTGCACTAGTGGGTTTGGATACAATAGTAGACGGGGTTATACGTATTGGTAGGGTTACACAAGTGGGTGTGGGTACACTAGTGGATGGGAGTTATACGTATTGGTAGGATTCCACTGGTGGGTGTGGGTACACTAGTGGATGGGAGTTATACGCATTGGTAGGATTACACTGGTGGGTGTGGGTACACTAGTGGATGGGAGTTATACGGATTGGTAGGGTTACACTAGTGGGTGTGGGTACACTAGTGGGTGGGGGTACACTAATGGATGGGGGTTATACGGATTGGTAGGGTTACACTAGTGGGTGTGGGTACACTAGGGGATGGGAGTTATACGTATTGGTAGGATTACAATGGTGGGTGTGGGGACACTAGTGGATGGGGGTTATACGTATTGGTAGGATTACAAAGGTGGGTGTGGGTACGCGTGGATGGGGGTTATACGTATTGGTAGGATTACAAAGGTGGGTGTGGGTACGCGTGGATGGGGGTTATACGTATTGGGAGGGTTACACTAGGGGATCGGAGTTATACGTATTGGTAGGATTGCACTGGTGGGGGTGGGTACACTAGTGGATGGGGGTTATACGTATTGGTAGGGTTACACTAGTGGATCGGAGTTATACGTATTGGTAGGATTGCACTGGTGGGTGTGGGTACACTAGTGGATGTGGGTACACTAGTGGATGGGGGTTATACGTATTGGTAGGGTTACACTAGTGGATCGGAGTTATACCTATTGGTAGGGTTACACTAGTGGGTGTGGGTACACTAGGGGATGGGAGTTATACGTATTGGTAGGGTTACACTCGTGGGTGTGGGTACACTAGTGGATGGGGGTTATACGTATTGGTAGGATTACACTGGTGGGTGTGGGTACACTAGTGGATGGGAGTTATACGTATTGGTAGGGTATCACTAGTGGATCGGAGTTATACGTATTTGTAGGGTTACACTAGTGGGTGTGGGTACACTAGTGGATGTGGGTACACTAGTGGATGGGGGTTATACGTATTGGTAGGATTACACTGGTGGGTGTGTGTACACTAGTGGGTAGGGTTACACTAGTGGGTTTGGTAACACTAGTGGGTAGGGTTACACTTAGTGGGTAGGGGTACACTAATGGGTATAGTAACACTAGTGGGTAGGGTTACACTAGTGGGTTTGGTAACACTAGTGGGTAGGGTTACACTAGTGGGTTTGGTAACACTAGTGGGTAGAGTTACATTAGTTGGTAGGTTTACACTAGTGGGTTTACATTGGTGGGTAAGGATACACTAGTGGGTTTGGTAACAGTAGTGGGTAGGGCTACACTAGTGGGTTTGGTAACACTAGTGGGTAGGGTTACATTAGTGGGTGGGGGTACACTAGTGGGTTTGGTAACACTAGTGGGTAGGTGGTTTTTTTTTTTTTTTTTTT